AACAATGCTACACGCGACTCGAGAAACTGACCGAATCTGCACCAAACGCCGGTACAAAGGCTCTCCCTGCCCCCGATGACAAGCCCTCCAGAAAGCGAGGTGGGTGGCGGGCCCGAAAGGCCAAGGAAGCTGTCGCTATGACGGAAATGCGGAAGGCACAGAACCGTCTTGCATTCGGCAAGGAGGAGTCAGAGGTGGGCTACGGCACGGGATCTGGAACCGTTGGTTTGGGTATGCTGGGACAGCAGGACGATGGTCGCATCCGCGCAACTCAGATCGATCAGCGCACCCGTGCCCGACTCAGCAAGAGCAACAAGGGCTGGGGCACAAACACCCCCGCTAGCGGCACTGCCTCATCGTTGCGTGGCTTTGGCCAGGGCGGTGCAAGTGGCACTGCAAGCGTTCTCCAGGCACGAGGCATTCGTGCCTCTGGTGTCGGATCATCCCTACCTGGCGCCGCTGGTACCTCCAGTACTATTGCATTCACACCCGTTCAAGGCCTAGAGCTGGTCGATCCGAAGGTGCAAGCGGAAATGAAGCGCAAGCGCGATGCTGAGGAAAACCGGTGGTTCAAGTCTGGCACTTTCACTCAGGCTCCTAACCAGAACCCCGGAAATTCCCAGGGCGGTGAGAATGGTGGCTTCAAGGTGCCTGCTATCCCACTCAAGAGGAAGGCTGACACGGGCGAGGGCAAGATGGGTCCTCCACCCAAGCGTTGAGAGTAAAGGTTTTTTTTTTTTTTTTTCAGTCTTTCCCAGTCTTTGCTTTTATCGGGTCGCAGCATTTTCACGGCGTTTCAAGGGGAATATCAGGACTGAGCTTCTATGATTTACGTGATACCAAACCGATTGTACATTAGATCTGACTACAGACCTCAAAATGACATTTTATTAAGACAATCCATGGATCCATGGATACCAAGTAGTTAGTAATACATTCAACCTCGGAGGTTGGGGTTTGAGGTTGCCAAGAAATTGCACCATTCCAAGGAATTGGCCTTCGAGATAGTCAACGGTTTAAGGCTCACAGTAGATGTTTCAGGAATCTCTAAGAATAACTGAGAACCGAATGCAATCCTTTAATCCTTTGAGAATAGATTGGGTGCCAATAGTAGACCTAACAGGCCTAATCAGCCCAATAGACCCAATAGACCCCCCCGAAAGGAACAGTAACTGCCTAACTCTAAATCTCAAATTCGCCCACATTGCGTGCACTGTCTTGTCTAGCACACAATCCCTGTGGAATGTGGTACAGCGTCCGTATAGCGGTCAGAGGATTCTATATCTATATAAACCGTCTACAAATATCTTTTGGATATGGCGTATATCGTATAAATTTTTGTCTATATAAAACTCAGATTCGCCTCCTTCCGAATTTTTGCCGATAATATTTCTTCCGCTACTTGGCTTCAATTTCCTACTTCTCTCAAATTTGGATTCTTTTCAGTCATAAACTAGATCCACAAAGACCTTGGAACATGACGTTTACTATAGATAACCCGGTCCTCGGCAACCCAGCCCCTAGCAATGCGGTCCCAGCTACCAAAAGCCTCCCAGACAAGGGCAAAGACCAAAAAGTCCCAAACTTGACTCAACTCGTGCATCATAGCCATGTCACTACAGCGTTCGATCCCTTGAGATTCGAAGCTGCCGCCTCATTGCAATTGCAATTGCAGCTCGAGAAGCAATATCCAGACACAGAAACAGACACGCGACTCATTGCATCGCCCTACAACAGCGTCCCCCATCTGCTGGATATTTCTGCACTGGAAAGACAAGACCGACTCTTCGCATTGGCATTGGCATATCTCAAGCCTATCCGCGACGACTATGCCACCGCTGAATACACCGAATCATTCAATTGGACGGAGGTGTATGATTTGTTGAGAACTTTCTCACAAGCAGAGAACCACGCATGGAAATCGCAGTCGTATTACGTTGTCATCTTCCGGTCAGTCCTGTTACCGGATATCGATTCGGACCGTCTTTATGACCTTGATGCGCATTCGCACCAGGAGGCCATTGCCAGCGGGGGATTGTTGAAGTATTGGTTTGGTGCGAAGAATGATAAGCATCGGAATTTGGCGACTTGTGAGTATTTGACTATTCTATCCCTGGTTCTTTTTTTTCTTCTGACTATAGCTAATCAATTCAAACAGGCATCTGGCGCAATCGAAATGATGCGAGACTTGGTGGTCGTGGACCTTGGCATGCTCAAGCGAGAGCGGCTGCTACAGTCATGTATGAGGAGATTAAGTTCACTACGCTGAGGTTGGATATTGAGGATGGAGTGCAGTCTTGGAAGTTGAGTGATTGGAAGGAAGATGCATAAAGAGCATTGGCATTAGCAAGATTCGATTGTTGCATTTGACTGGAGTCTACGGAGTAGGATGGCATAGTATTATGGGCTTGTACATCTTTCTCTCTTCGTGCATTGCGTTTTATATAGAGTTTTGTGACAACCACCCGGTGTGTTTACACTAAGGTAGTACGCCTTTCTAAGTGCCTTGCATTACTTTGCAAACTTCCTATACCCACCTACTTCCTCTCAGACCAGTATCATGTTGGATAAAATTAGATGAGAGTCCCTAGAAAGCATAGAGACAAGCCAGATCCAGGATGAAAACTGCCGGCTTGCATGTGGGTTTGTGTACTAAAAGTACTAAGCCCAACGCATAAAGCGTTGAGCTTAATCTCCCTAGTCCAACCCTCCCGAAGTGAGTATACTGATTATCGACCGATAAAATGAGTAGAAGTGCATAGACAATAGGAGGAAGGTGAAGTTGGTCTATCTATTGGTGAGCGCTTCTGCATACCCACTGCGCTAAGGAATTGAGTTTCTTTAAAATTTCTTTCGCCTCTTTGTCTAAATTGTTGGGAGCTCTTAGGCCTCGTAGGATCAGGACCTTGTGCTCAGTTGACTTCTTCTTCCCTTCTCTCTCTTCCCCTCTCGTCCGTACATTCCCATTGATAGCGATTACCACCATCTTTTACCTTTAGGATCTGAACTAGAAACACTAGCAAAGAACCAATAGTAATTTGCCTTTATAGGTACCTGCCACCTCTACGAACCCTCCGCAAGGTTTATGTCGGTAAACACGCCGAGATTACAATACCAAACTCAGAACCCCCGGGGAGGGTCTATGCTCATAAGACGAACATGGTATACCGGGCAATATAGAAGTAGAACTCTATTCTAGGTTAGAATACTAGCTATGTTGTATCAGCTTACCCCTCCCCCCGATCTTGCTTGTGTGGTATTCGCCTCTTTATCAACTTGGTGCTTAAGGAGGTTGCAGTGGCTGTGGTGGGTGTCTCTTTACCCCTAGATGGCTCTGTTTCTTTTTTCCCACGAAGCTATATAAATAACTCCATGGTAGACTGCGAGACTACTCTCTCCTTTAGCAATATAGCGATCACTTCTGGCTCCACACACTGTCTACGTATTACCTGTTTATATGCATTATAATTTCAGCACTAAAAAGACATCTCAGCCATGCAAAGCCAAACTATTCATATATATTGAGGTTCTAGAAATGGGTTTATAATAAGGCGTATCTTGTTCCGTACCTACATCATTTCGTCTTCAACACGTGAGATCATCTACCCGACTCTTGAGTGGTTGTCATTCACTTAATAAGATTCCGAAAGTCTTGCATGTGAAAAGAACACCGTTAGGTGTCTGCGCTTAGTGATCGCTATAAATATTGTCTTCCTCTTTCCTCACTTAATCTTCTCCCTCTTCCACCCTCCCTTCTTTCGGCCCTTCTTTCCTAGGCCCATGGTGACTATCGCCACAAGTAAGTGATTGAAATTAAAATAAGACCTCGTTGACTAAATTCATCACTAGAGCGCTGACTCACCCTAGTTGAAGTGCCCACTGGAGAATCACCCCCAGGAGAACACCGCTGAGGCGCAATGCTACTTTATTGAGGTTGAGCATCTCACCAAGGAGTTCCATCCCGTATCTGAGAAATTCCCCCAGCACTTTCAGAACTTCGGTGATAAGAACACAGGTACCTTTATACCCTTGGGACACACCCACTGACTAGTTCGTCGCTAGGGCCAAGTCCTTCGATATCAACGTCGGTACGAAAAATCCAGCACATGCACCAAGGCCGATGACATGAAGATACTTTGTTCATCCTCTTGGTTCTTCTAGTTTCCAGCCTCCGTATAATATTTTGCACATCAATCGAGAAGAGGAGAAATGACCAATGTTCTGTCCCCGACCTCAGCCGTGTCCCAAATAAAGAGAGCGGCCTAGATGACCTTGAGCATTATCGGAACCCCTGCCCATATGGGCGTCCAGCTGACGTTTTGACTACCAGGGCATGTGCTTTAATTCTGACTTTAGAGAAGATATTCGACTATTGGGTGGACGCTAGCCTCATACAACCATGGAAAGAAACGAGAACGAACTGCGAGATGGCATCTCTCCTCCAAAGTTGACAAAGTGAAGTGGTGGGATATCCGCCCATCCCCTCTATGGGCAACGAGCTGGAGCAGCTCAGTCAGCTCCGCGAAAGAAGGCTCGCACAGCTTTCTGCTTGTACAAGAGTCCGGTTATATGCCTAAGAACTGTTTGATTTTCGGCACTTTATCAACAAGTTGAATTAGTACATGCTCTACCCGAGCCAAAGCCCGTCCTATCTTAGAAAGCGGAAATTTCAGAGATATTATTAATACCTTGCTTTAGAGAGAATGAGATTTGGAGGTCAAAAGAAGTTGACCTTAGGACGAATCAAGGGTTACACATAGAAAAGTCTCTCGCACAGAGTATGTTCTTTTTTTACCGCCTTCGTATATACCTAAAAAGATATATAAAAAGCCTGAGACGAGGCCGCATAAGCGGCCGACTATTGTTTAAAAAGATATTTCTGAGCATCTGCACAACAATGGGTTGAAAACTATCTACCTACACGACGTAGAGGCAATGAACCTGGTAGCTTTTCAGCAGTCACCTATTCCATGCCATCCCCGGTCTGAAAACAACCTTATCACCAATCCATTCCGACGCGACATCCATCTTCAAATCATAAAATTCATGGAAGAGCTTTTTTTTGGAACCCAAACCCTCCAACCTAATGCAAACATAAGAACTCCGTTGGAACAATAAGCCATGCCGAACCCAATCCACCATTAAAATTTAACAGGTGTTAGTGGAAGATCTGTAGACATGTGTTCCCAACCGGGGGCTGATGACTCCGGATTTGATATACAAACCCAGAGCAAATCAAGGCAGGTCGCAAGGCGAATAACGATATAGGCATTTGTTGATAGACTGATGAATGGCAACAGGTCGCAGAAGTAAATGAGCGTACTAGACCAAGGATAGCAGGGGGTGTGAAGCAAGTCACTACCGTTTAGTCGGGGTCACTGTTGCCATTTAAATCGTCATCATCGCCATCGTCGTCCGAGAGACCGTCATCGGCACCGGAAGAGGGCCCGGCGCGGTGACGGAATCCCTTGCCCTGAACCGCCGAGGCTCTGCATACGCCTGGGATCCCCATTAACCACATGATCTTCCAATCGCCTCGGCGCCTGTTGCGCCGCTGCTCATAGTCGCGGCCATCGTGTTTGTGACGGCGGCGACGATGCTCGTTGTGGACGCCCTTTTCAGTTCTCTTCTTCCAAGAAGTACTGTTGAATATAGTTAGCACAGCATTTATAAATGGAACTGACAGCATCCATAGATGAAGTAGAAAACTTACGAAGTTGCCTGCCAGCTTCTGCTCCTGGTCCATTTGACTGTTGTACTTGTTGATACGGGGGCGGTAGCTGTTGGGGTCACGACGGAAAGTGACATCCAAGCTCTTCAAGAACCGGTTGCAACCACCGACCAAAGACTCGGGCGTCTGGGCACGAGCGTCCACGGATGGCTGGCCGTCAAAGACAATGACACGATCAGCCAGGTAGGTGGCCATGATGAAATCGTGCTCGACGATGAAAGCGGTCTTCTTGGTGTGCATAATGAAACGCTTGATGACACGAGCAGCGACAATACGCTGCTCGGAGTCCAGGTAGGCACTGGGCTCGTCAATCAGGTAGATATCAGCGGGCATACCCAGAGCCAAGACAATAGCGACACGCTGCAATTCACCACCGGACAGGTTCTGAACCTCCTGGTCGATGAAGTCATCCATCTTCAAGGGCTTGTAGACATCGGTCTGGAATTGAGGAGACAGGAAAGCAGTCTTGATACGCTTGAAGAAGAGTTGGCGGACGGTACCCGTGAACTTGGGGGTAATCTTCTGGGGCTTCATGCTGATGTTCATCTTAGGGACAGAGATGAGGCCGTCGGGCTTCAATGCACCAGCAAGCATCTTACAGAAAGTGGTCTTTCCAGTTCCGTTCTCACCCATCATGACGACAATTTCGGAGTCGGTGAACTTTCCGGCATCAACCTTCAGGTGGAAGTCACCCAGAGTCTTCTCCATCGCGGGATAGGCGAAGGCACGATCCTTGTCCGCAATGAACTCCTCGCCGGCTTCAGCAAGACGGAAGGTGAGAGATTCCTCACGGAATCGCAGGTTCTCAGTAGGGATGTGACCGTCCAAGAAGATGTTGATACCCTCACGGACGGAAGAAGGCAGAGTGACGACACCGTAGACAGCAGGACGACCATACAACACGCAAATGAAGTCGGACAAGTAATCGAGGACGGACAAATCGTGCTCGACAACGATGACATAGTCATCGGGGCGGAGGAGGCTGCGGATTGTACGGGCAGCAGCCAGACGCTGCTTAACATCGAGATATGAGGAAGGTTCGTCGAACATGTACCTATATCAATCAGTATTAGTAACGGACGGGACTATATGACATGGATATAATGAAGGAAGAACATACACGTCGGCCTTCTGCACGCAAACCAGACCAATGGCAAAACGCTGAAGCTCACCACCGGAAAGGTGACCGATATCACGTTGCGCAACTTGTCTCAACTCTGGACGAATATTAGCAACTGAATTCCGAAATATTGGAGTACGGAAACGCACCGAGAACTTCCATGATATCCTCCTCGTTACCTAGCGCAGCGCGCGCCGAGATGAGCTGCTGAACCTGCTGAATAGGTCCCTTCACAGCACGGGGAATCTGATCGACATATTGAGGCTTCACAACTGCCTTCAGGTTGTCTTCCAGAATCTTGGTGAAGTAGTCTATCACAGTTAGCAACGTCAAATAGAAACCGTCGCACTTGGGGTACGCTGCTTACTCTGTAAATCGGAACCACGGAAATACTTCAGGATCTCCTCCCAGTCAGGAGGGTTGTCATAACGACCGAGGTTAGGCTTCAGCTTGCCACTGAGAATCTTCAACGCGGTACTCTTTCCAATACCGTTTGTTCCAACCAGACCGAGAACCTGACCGGGACGGGGCATGGGAAGTCGGTGAAGCTTGAAGCTGTTGGCCGAGTAGCGGTGGGTGACTTGGGTCTCGAGGTTGGTGGGCAAATTGATGATGTGAATGGCTCCGAATGGGCACTTCTTGGGACAAATACCACAACCAATGCACAGGCGCTCGGAGATGAAGGCGATCTTCGAACTCGGATCGACTTCAATGCAAAGCTTGCCAGTGCGGACCACAGGGCAAGACTTCTTGCACTCTTGACGACATTTCTGTAACTGATTAGTCTCCCTGAGCACCATGAAATATCATATCGAATCGCGTACCTTCGGTTTGCACTGTAAAGTTGGAAAGATGTGGTGTGAGCCAGACATTCATGAACCGGGGAGAAAATCCTATTAGTGGGGGTATTTCGCGACGAACCTTGTCACTGTTGATGATCGCAATACTATAGAGAGAAATATATCATTAGCAAGTGATATGGCACCTTATAGTCTCCAGAAACATACCGAGTAAGCTTGTCAGACATGGTGGCGGATGTGGTTCAAAGAAACCGTGTATGAAGCGGAGTGAAAAAAAAAGAATCAGCACCAAGTGGAGGAGGGGTCGAGGGTTGGAATTGGCCGAATAAGTGCTGTCGCAGGTAAATGAACTGGGCTCAGCAGAAGCACCAAGTATCTCTGCGCAGACTCGATTAGAAATAAGACAGGAAGAGACACTACTATCAACGAACGAGGGGCGGCAGAATTGAATGCACTTTGCTTTCTGTGGGCTGTGATGCCTTAGGCCACAGCTGCGTCACTTATTTATCAAGGCGGTGATTGGCTGTTGGCCTGGGCTCGGATTGGTGGTTTATCCGAGGTCCGCAAGCCACGTGATGAGACGCCGTGTCAGGCGCCAAGCGAATACGCTAGTCCCAATAAGGTCAAGCTCTCTTAATGCCTGATGGATCAGGTGTCTACTTTCTCTGCAAACCAAACCGAAGCAAACCCTCCAGTCAGTCCCCATCTCTTAGTTCTTCCAAGTCTCTCGTCTCCTCCTCCCCCAAGATTCCAGCTTCACGCCTCCCCCCACCATTTACTTTCCCACATTGATCGACAGATCCCCCGCTTTCGGGGTCACCACGCTATGGAGTGTAAGTGATATAATCTTTTCCTCAAGCACAGACGTGCCGACCGAAGCCTTCGCCGCGGTACTTCTCCGCGCTTGTCGACCCACTGCACGAATCGTTGAATACCTCCATTCTGTTCCGATCGGGACAGTTTTCAACTGTCATCGATCAAGCAGTGCGTCATTGCATCCTCCGAGTCTGGTTGTGTGTATCAATCTGTCCATTGCTTTGGCTTCCAGCCTGGCCGCGTCCATCCCACCCGTTATCAAAAAACATACTCTTTCATCAAAGTCAATATCCTGTTCCATTCTGCTAGCTTTTAGGCTCTATTTGACCGCAATTTGGGTCGCGTGCCATTGTTTTACCCATCCCTGTCTCTTTCATACCTCTCCTAGCCTAAATCGAGCTTCAATGCTGACTGCCCCTCGGTAATAGCCTCTGGCATGGTGATCCCATCTGCTCAGGAACATCCTTCTACCTCGACGATGTCTAATGGCTACCCTATTTCACCCGTTGCCGACGATACCCACACGGATGGCGATGCGGTAACCCAACATGAACGCAGTCCGTCCGAACCCATGCAGTCCCACCCCGTCTCCGAGTCCTCCCCCGAACCCGATGCCGCGGACGACTCATATGACGGCGCGTCTGCCGATTCAGATGCGGAGGATGAGGACGCAGCGGAGGACAACAGCGATTATGACGCCAACATATACAGCCGTGAAAACTCTTCATCCCCTCACCCCGACCGCGGTGCGAAGCGCAAATCGTCACCGGTTAGCGAAACCGATCTGATTAGACAAAATCCCGATCTGTATGGACTTCGACGAAGTGGTCGTGCTCGCACGACACGCCATGTCGCCGACTCATCTGATTCAGACTCAGATGATGTTGCACCTCGCACCAAGCGTCGGCGCAAAGATCCATCCCAACAACCATCTAAGGCATCCCGATCAGCTACTGTGTCGTCACTATCCGAGTCGGACAGTGATGAGTATGGTGGAAAGAGTGCTCGTGCTAGCAAAGCGAGAAGGCGACGCCTGCAACAAACTGCTAGCTATGAACCTTCAATGAACGAGGTTCGCTTCTCAACGCGAACTGCGAAGAAGGTGTCAAATTACAACGAGGATGACGAGGAAGATGAAGCCATGTTTGAAGAAGACCCAGAAGATCTTCCACCGAACTACTGGGCGGAGAGTTACGTGGAGGACACCCGCCCTGCTGTCGATGTCGTCCTGAATCACCGCCTCAAGGAGGGCATCGACCCAAAATCTGATAATCTCGACCGCAATGACTTTGAGTTTTGTATCAAGTGGCAGGACAAATCACACTATCATGCTACATGGGAAAGCAATGAATCTATATCCAACTTCCGCAGCACGCGGCGCGTGGATAATTATGTTCGGAAGGTGCTCAATGAGGATATTCGGTTGCAGTATAGTGTCGACGCCCCTCCTGAAGACCGCGAAAAGTGGAATCTCGACCGTGAACGAGACGTCGAGGCCATAGAGGATTACAAAAATGTTGAACGAGTCATCGGTGTACGTGATGGTGATGATGGCGCCACGGAATACCTTGTCAAATGGAAACGTCTCTTCTACGATTCCAGCACTTGGGAACCCGAAGAGCTGGTTAGTGAAATCGCACAGCGTGAGATTGACCGGTTCTTGGACCGCACTGCTCGCCAACCCATCTCCGACAAGAACGAGATGAATGTTGCCACGCGTAAATCTTTCGAACCCATCCACGGCACCCCTAGCTTCTTGCAGAATGGAGAGCTTAAGGACTTCCAAGTCAAAGGTCTAAACTTCTTGGCTTTCAACTGGGTCAGAGGTCGCAATGTGGTTTTGGCAGATGAGATGGGTCTCGGAAAGACAGTACAAACCGTTTCATTCATCAACTGGATGCGTCATGTCAGGCGGCAGCAAGGGCCATTCATTGTTATCGTTCCCCTGTCTACTATGCCAGCATGGGCTGATACCTTCGATCACTGGACACCGGACCTGAACTACGTTGTTTACAACGGTAGTGAAAAGGCGCGCTCCGTTTTGCGCGATTATGAATTGATGGTCGATGGGAATCCCAAACGTCCAAAGTTCCACGTTCTGCTGACAACTTACGAGTATGCAATGAATGATTCACCGTTCCTCGGTCAATTCAAGTGGCAATTCATGGCAGTGGATGAGGCACACCGTCTCAAAAATCGCGACTCACAACTTTACATCAAGTTGTTCGAATGGAAATGCCAGGCACGCCTCTTGATCACCGGTACCCCAATCCAAAACAACCTTGCTGAGCTTTCAGCACTAATGGATTTCCTCAATCCGGGCCTCATTGAAGTCGACGTCGACATGGATTTGAATGCCGAAGCAGCATCTCAAAAACTTGCGGAATTAACAACTGCCATTCAGCCTTACATGTTGCGGCGTACCAAGTCCAAGGTTGAGTCAGATCTTCCGCCGAAAACCGAGAAGATCATTCGAGTAGAGCTCTCTGATGTCCAATTGGAATACTACAAGAACATCCTGACGAAAAACTACGCTGCGCTAAATGACGGGAACAAGGGAATGAAGCAGTCTCTTCTAAACATCATGATGGAATTGAAAAAGGCTAGCAACCACCCATTTATGTTCCCCAATGCAGAAGCAAAGATTCTGGAAGGCAGTAGTCGTCGAGAAGATATCCTTCGAGCCATGATCACCAGCAGTGGAAAGATGATGCTTCTGGATCAACTCCTCCGTAAGTTGAGCGTTGATGGGCACCGAGTTTTGATCTTCTGTCAGATGGTTGGTATGCTTAACATCCTGAGTGAGTATATGGAGTACCGTGGTTACAAATATCAACGGCTTGATGGAACTATCCCATCCGCCGCCCGTCGCTTGGCAATTGAGCATTACAACGCTCCTGGTAGCACCGACTTTGCATTCCTTCTCTCAACCCGCGCAGGTGGTCTCGGTATCAACCTTATGACTGCAGACACTGTCGTTCTGTTCGATTCGGATTGGAACCCCCAGGCTGATTTGCAGGCTATGGCGCGTGCTCATCGAATCGGCCAAACACGACCCGTAAGCGTTTATCGCCTTGTCTCAAAGGACACGATCGAGGAAGAAGTCATCGAACGAGCTCGGAACAAGCTCTTGCTCGAGTTCATCACCATCCAGCGTGGTGTCACAGACAAGGAAGCCTCGGAGATGCAAAACAAGATGGCTCGCGTGGTTGCCGAGCCTAATTCCACGGACGATATCTCTCGGATCCTCAAACGCCGCGGTCAGAAGATGTTCGAGCAAACCGACAACCAGAAGAAACTGGAGCAGCTTGATATCGATTCCGTCCTTGCAAACGCAGAATTACACCAAACGGAAGAGGCCGAGCAAATCCAAGCCGACGGTGGTGAGGAATTTTTGAAAGCATTCGACTTCGTCGACATTAAAGTTGACGATCTCACCTGGGACGATATCATTCCTAAGGAACAGCTCGAAGTGCTCAAGGCCGAGGAAAAGCGCAAAGATGATGACCATTATCTTGCTGAAGTCATTGAGCAAAACAGACCCCGCAAGCGTCACGCCCCCGCGGACACGACAGATTCACGAGAGGAACGCAAGGCGAAACGCCTCGCAAGGGCTCAAGTCAACATCGATGATGGCGAGGAAGAGAGTACCTCATTGGATCCCAAGCGCCCCCTGGGGGAAAAAGAATACCGTGCGCTTTCTCGAGCTTTCCTTCGCTACGGCGATCTGGATGACTCTGAAGACCTCATCCTCGAGGATGCCAGGTTACAAACTCGCGATCGGGGCACCGTTCGTGACGCTCTTCATGAAATTACCGACAAGGCAAACTCGCTTGTCCAGGCAAGTCTGGATCAATTAGAGGCTATGAAACAATCAGGTAGGAACCCGACGAAGAAAGAGCAGAAGGCCGTATTGTTCGACCACCACGGTGTCAAGCGACTCAACGCATGGACTATCGTGGAGCGTCCACCGGATATGCGCCTTATCCGAAGCATCATCAAAGCATTGCCTGATTTCAAAACATTCCGGCTCCCCGAGGCTACCAAATTGGCGGACTACAGCTGCCAGTGGGGCGCACGTGAAGACGGAATGCTTCTTGTGGGTATCGCACGCCATGGGTTTGGTGCGTGGACCCAGATTCGCGATGACACTGAGCTTGGCCTCGGTGATAAATTCTTCCTCGAGGAACACCGAGTGGAGCGAAAGACACAACGCCTGCAGACCGAGGAGAAGGCAACAAAATCACCCGGCGCTGTCCACCTTGTTCGACGAGCTGAATACCTCATGTCTGTTTTGAGAAACAAGTTCAATAACAACGCTACAGCAAGAAGGGCAGTCGACAACCACCACCGCAACAATAAGCGTGGCTCACGGGTTTCCGGTAGTGGCAGTGTCTCTGCCTCTCCGGCGCCCTCCAGTTCTCGCAGGCCTGAGAATCCCCGCAAGGGCCACCGTGAATCTGATCGATCACGGCCCCGCCCCCACACGCATGGCAGCCGGGAGGGAGACCGTCATAGTACTCCTAGCCATGACTCTCGTCCCCGGTCTGGTCTTGATATTGATCGTCCACGCCATCGTCTATCTGACGCCTCTAATGACGAGCTTCGCCGCCGCAAAGGTCATGAGAACGGCGGTTCTAATAAAGAAGACATGGCGTTCATGTTTTTCAAGCCTATTGTTGCCAATTTGAAGCAAGTGTCAATGATCACTGCCAAAAATTACCCAAGCAAGAATGAGCGGGCCCAAAAACTCCGTCTTACCCTTGTGAAGATTGGAGAATTCATTCGCAATACTCTGGAGGGCTCGCAATCGATGCCCTCCTTAGAGGTCCGACTATGGTAAGTTCTCTCTTCTGTCACGTTTATCTTTCACGTTCTGACTTGACTGCCAGGGATTACGTTTCACTCAACTACTGGCCAAACAAAGACGCTAGTGGTGCTAAGTTGCAGCAGATGTTCAATAAGGTCATGGAAGCCAGTAAAGCTTCCAAGGCCTCTAATGGCAGCTCGACTTGAGTTCCGTATCTCATGGGCACAATGGGTACAGGTGTTCTTTGTTTCAGTTCAACTTCACTTTAGCACGGTTTGACGACATGCATGTTCAGCGTTTCTGATATCAGATATCTACCTATCATTTTTCATTTTTGTTCTTTTTGATGATAGACACTCAGCGTATCTCTTTGCAATCTCTGCTCCCTCTCCTCCCTCTACAATGTTCCCGCTCCAAGTTTTGGACTACTTTATTCCGGTATTCTTTCATTGGACTCGAGGTTTTGCAGTCATTGTTATTGTCATCTTTCGACATCTTGCACAATTCCTTGGGCTGTCCTCATCATAGTGACCTCCATCTCTCTCTTTTGCTCTTTGTTCGTTGAAGGTACATATGAATGCAACTTGTTGCACGGCATTGCGAATGGCGTCGACTTCTTTGCGTGAGCCCCAAAAGCACAGAAAGAAGAATTTTCAAAATGAGCATGACCTACGGTCTTGGATGATCACTGCATGGCGTGTTTGGGGGCTTCTTTCCTTTATCTTTTCCAACGTTTTCCAGTGGGGGAGTTTTGGACTGGCTCTCCATGGTCTTTTTTCTCCCTGGATTGAGCCAATCGTATCATATCCCCTTTGCTTTAGTTTGCTTTTTCTTGTATGTCGTGAGCATACCAGGACTCTTCCTATGGAGGCATCCGTAATCAAGGGCAGTTTGTTTTCTTTCTCACCACATGTATCTTATGGAGTGGCTGCCATGGCGTCGACTGATTTCTTAATCCTTCTGTGATCATTCAGTGGGAGCGTGTTATTTAACATCCCTCGCTTTTTATTTTCGGTTTGAAACAACGTAAGGCAAGGGCCTTTTGCCTTGAGTATGAGTTATCCATTTAAGCTTACAACTACAAAAATAGTCGGCCGCTCATGTGGTCTTTGTCCGAGACGCCGTAAGACTAATAATCTAACGACATCATATGTAAGGACACTCAAATGTGGTTTTAGATGGACGTGAAGGCGTGTGCAGAGGCCTGTAAGCCATACCAAAAAAGGTAATAAACAAATAAAAAAGACTATTCATACATTCCGTTGCAAGATACCACTCTTCTGCCTGGATTTGAAAATACAAAAAAAAAAAAAAAAAAAAAAACACAACTCACCAACACCATGCACGCCGGGATATGAGGGGACGACAAATGAAACGGTAACTGGAAAGTGACGCAGAACAGAGACGAAGCTAATCGAGCATTGCCTCAGAAGGTTGAGGAGAAAAGGAGGAGCAAAGTAGGAGAAGGGTAAAGAAGGGAAAAAAAGAAATATGCCAGCTAAGTGCTGCCCTCGATAGTCGGCATCTCTGCCGACTTGACCAGCTGGTCCTGTTGATTTTGGAACTGCTGCTGCTGCTGTTGCAGCTTTTCAAGACTGGTTGTTAGGTGTGCGGGTGGTACCGAGCCAACCATTGCACTGAACAGCCCAATCTCGGCGTCAATGAGGTCGTCAAAGATAGCCTCCTTCTCGCGCCATGCGCGCTCGCGCTGTGGGCGAATTGTCTCCCACTCGCCTTGTAGCTGTGTAGCCTCCTTGCTAGCCCACGCGATCTGTCGACGGAGAAGACGGTAGAGTTCGCGCGGGGGTAGGGCGAGCTCCCGTTCGTCGAAGTCGAGCTCCGGGCCAAACTCTGGCATCAAGGTCTCTTCGGGATCATGTATGTCGGTTGTGACGGGGTGTGGAACAATGGTGATTGCTTCGGTGTGTGGCTCGGACTCGGTTCCCGGCTCCCTGGGTTGGGTCAGCTTCAGGCGGATGCGTTGCAGCTTCGACACTGGGGTGCCGGTGGTGCTGCCCGGGGTGCCGTGGACTTTTGAGATGGAGTCAATTGGGCGCATGGTGTCAGTTTCGTGAACAGACCGCATGTGCTTGGTCAGGGCGTCGGAGCGGGTGAAGTTGCGGTCACATTCTGTAGTTCATTGTTAGTACTCGAGATCTATCAACATCATACCCCATTTCGAGGGGTCGAGTCTGGGTCACAACGTACCGGGTAGAGTGCAGTAGAATGGCTTCTCGCGGGTGTGACTTCTCATATGTGCGCGAAGGGCATAGGCACTAGCATGGGTTTGACCTTTGCGGGTGCAGTCGTTCCACTCGCACGAGTACCGCTTCTGTCGGCTCCCGATGTGCTCGTTGTGGAGGTGCTGCACCAACCCATCCATGTTGCCGAGGTCACCAGCGCTACATCCATCCCATCGGCAGATAGTGACCTGGTCAGTACTCTGGCCACTATAGTCATCTTCTTGATTGGTGCCAAGGAGGCTAAGGATGCTGGGGGAGTTGGGGATATCGCCAGAGCTATCGGAGGAGATCGAGGCAGTCGGGGATGGAGGTGGGTGGATTTCGTCTTGAATAGAGGAAAGAGGAGTCTGGCGGTCCCAGGACGCGATACCGGTGCGACGACGCTTGGAGGGTGGCAAGTTGGACATCGAGGGTGAATGCGCGCGGCTTTCATGTTTCATGGATTCATGATCTGAAGTCTCGAGGGATCCCACCGAGGAGAGAGGAGAACCGGGAGAGTCTCGTGAAGCCATTGTGGATGGTATAGCTCGTACCGAAAAAGGAAGTGGCAGCAAACAAATTGGACCCGTCTAGTAGCTATGCCGTAGATGTCGCGCGAGGGGGGCTATCGTATCACATCACGTGTTTCGGCCGAGGAGTATAAGTTGGATCACGTGATTGACTCGGAGCAGGCCACAACTGAACACCCTTCTCTCTCTCTGACTTCCTCCGTTGTTCTTACATGGGATTGTCCATGTCTATTGTCTTTCTCATTCTAATTATCATCTCCCAGGACCCTGTGTTGGTTTATTTATTAATGCACAGACCTCCTCTCCCTATTGGTGGACCGCACTAACCCAATGGTAAGCTTGCCTGTGCCCTTTATGCACACCTACCCGCCCTATACAAGAACATAACATAACACCGAATATCCTCAACTGCCGTACATACTACATGATGATCAGAGTCCAATGAATATGCAATACTGACAATCACCAATTTCATGTGCGATTGTATGTTGACTCTTCTACACTTGATCTGACCTATACAACAAACCATTGGCATACAAACATCTCACATCTGCTATGATCTATTTCTAATAAATCTTAAGATATTTCAGGAAATCTCTAGTACCGAGGCCCAGAAACCGTGTGTTCCTCCAAAATCGCATCGATCTCAGCCATCTCAGAGTCCGTCAGCGCCTGTGCACCACCCATGTTCTGAACCACCTTATCCTTCGTAGTACCACCAGGGATGGGAATAATAGTAGGCATGCCAGGCTTGCCACTCTTGGTCCGGATCCATGCCAATGCAATCTGAGCAGGAGCAGCACCTTTGCGAGTAGCAAGGTCATTGACCTCGTTGATGAGCTTCAGGTTGTGTTTGAAGTTATCTTCCTGGAACCGGGACATGTGGTGGCGAATATCATCGGGGGGGATATCGGCCAGTGAGGTCACAGCTCCGGTCAGAACACCTCGGCCAAGTGGCGAGTAAGCGATGACGGGAATGTCGAGCTCCGCACAGGTTTTGGCAATGTCATTATGGAGAATATCAGTAGACCATAAGGACATTTCAGCCTCGACGGCAGCGATTGGGTGCACCTTGTGTCTAGAGAAGCAGTTAGAGTTGAGTTTGTCCATAGGAAGTCTTCATGAAGACCATAAACAAATAGAGGCACATACGCTCGGCGGATCGTCTCGGCATCAACCTCGCTCAATCCAATTCCTCCAATCTTGCCCTCCTTGACATACTTTGCGAGAACCCTGATGGTCTCCTCAACGGGGTAAGCAGGATCTTGTCGCGCGCATTCGAAAATGTCGATCTTCTTCTTGCCATCAAGCAAACGCAGACATTCGTCCACGCTACGACGGATGTTCTGCTCCGAGCCATCCGGGACAATCTCGCCCTTCTTTAAGCCACCCTTGATGCTGAGAACTACCTTGTCTGCATTCTCAGGGTACTTGGCGAAGTACTTGTTGAGCAGGTGCAGAGAGTTGTACTCCGGAGTGCCATACAACTCGCCAGCGTTCCAGAAGTTGGCACCCAGTTCCAGGGTAGTGTTAAGTGTCTCAAAGCACACCTCATGGGATGGAGGCTGCGCGTTCCAGGTCATTCCTGATTTGATGGTTAGCATAATGTCCACTAATTGTGGTGTTTGCGGGGGGAATCGTACTCATGGTGCCATAGCCAATAGGGCCGACTTCCTTTCCAAGTAGAGAAGGCATTACCAAATATAAAAGGTGAATTTGGAAACTTTAGTGAGATGAGACAGTTGGTTGAATGTCGAACTTGGTGGTGGGTTGGTCTTTTATGGTTTTCAAGATAGTGCCCCGCCGTCGGGTTAGATCGATCGCAGTTAAGGATATTCCCAGTTTGTTACCGCGAGTTTCGTGCGATCACTTAGTCCGTCCAGGTATATCCTCATAATAATGACTTCTAATCCGAACTTCTCGTGTGTTCTCCGGGCATAGCCTGCGGAGTTGTACTGATGTTCGGAGTTAGTGATCGGAAAACGAACGGAGTTAAGGGAGTGTAGCGTTCAACCCCATAAGGGCCGAGTGTTGATGTCTTGTAAGCTGTTATTGCAATTACAGCACGTCGCTCATTGACGGAAAATCGTATAAAGTGGCTACACTGGAATCCTCACCTCGACAATCTTGTTTCTCTTTTCCTGCGGAGCTGCCTACTTCATATAATTTGGCCCGGATGGCCGCAAATTCGAGACTGACCAAAGTCCTGCACTAGACATCAATTTCTTTCTCCGGTAAATATGCCCTTGATTCAAACCATCGAGGCAGGTCTTCTGCTCGGCCAGAGCTTTTAGGCTCCTGGCCGTGCCGTTCGTGGCTGGCTGAGAACAAATATTGGATTTTACTCGGGCTTTTGTGCGAATGGAATTGATAGTCTATTCATCTCGTATATCGCTTGTCTTCAAATCTCAGCACCCGTACCGGTCCATGATGGCCCTAAATGAAGGATCTCGCAAAAATTCTGTTGCGGTTGGTCGTTTTTCTAGGTGGTAGATAAATACTTTCGACATGGTAGATTGTATATGTTGCCGCTCGACCCGGGACGAAAATATAAAATTTTCGCAGCAAGGTCACTGTCTAGATCAGGAGATTGAGACTGATCATACCATGAATCAAGTCCGCTAGGGTGTATGTAGAGACCTTTCTACTGCTCAGGTAGTAGGCCGAAGCATTCAACCATACCACTCACAACTCCACCCTCGAGAAATATGGGAAACGGAGGAAACGTAAGGTAGAGCATAGAGAAAACAGCCATATAGCTCTACATATCGCAAGTAAAACTTGGCTCTTACTTATAAAGTCGATCTAGAGAGCAATAATATATAGGTGGGTAGCCGCGTTAAGTGGTGAGGTCGCCAATTCCCTTCCCTAAACCAAACTTACAGAGATAGCATTCTTCAGTGCGAAAGTCTTCAGAAAATTTGACAGGACTCACAAGCTCGCCCTTTTTCCAGATATCGACAAATGGTATTGTCTGCTTCAAAGGCCAACCGAGTAACTCATATAACTCCTATTTGGCGTTTCTGCCACTAAACTTATCTCCAGGACAGGAACATTGTCTTATAATAACAATAATATAATAATACGTGACTGTAATGTATAGACAGTATCAAGCTGATACCTAGGTAAAGACTCAGAGACCTTTGGGCATAGAGTGGAGCGAGTGGTACTGGCATTAAAGGGAGGTTACGTGACAGCGTATTAGAACGAGTATTTCACAGGTCCGCCGTTTACATCCAACATAGTAGTAGCAAGTATAAAATCAGAAACATGCATAGCCTTTGAAGTTCACATTTTCCAGAATCAACATCAATATCCATCGTTTTTATTCTGTATTCGTAGCGCGAAACATCCTCATCATAGGAAGCCGTCCAATCCAATCTCATCAGAGCTGTCAATCATATTCTTCAATCGATGCTCCAACTCCCGATAAAAAGTATCAAAAGCAACAGGGATATCCTCAGTCGTAATTTTCTTATCCCCATTCCAACCCTGCCCAATCTGGATGTTCTCGATTGGTCTGTTGTTGCTGTGTACGTGTTTCACGGTATGAGTGTAGCCCGCCCCATTGCTGCTATAAGTGGATGTGTAGCCGGTGGAGCTCGAGTAGACAATGTTCGTGGTTTGTGTTGGCTTCATGTTATCCAATTCCTGTTTGGTCTGCACGCTGGCAGTGGGCGTGGAGGTTGGAGTGGATGTTGCGGTTGGGGTTGGGGTTGGCTCTTGCAGGCCCAACCCTTGCAAGAGGTCATGGACGTACTCCTGGGTGTCTGGAATAAGTCTCTGTATTTTTGTTAGTAGTATGTTCTTTCAATGATGGAGTGCCATGCCTGAGTGACTAACCGGTGACCGAGATTCAAGCTTGGAAGCTTGTCCTTTTTCCATCTCTTCAACTGTCTGGTAGATTGGATGCGCATTGACAGTAGAAACTGCCAGCAGTGCCACCATCAGCACTGAGACCCATGATGCCCTTGGAATAAGTTGCGGCATATTGTATGGATTCAAGCGTATGCTGTGATGAAGTGGGTTCTTGAAACGGGGTACTTCTCTACTAATATGGAACAGGTAAATCCCAAGCGTCACGACTATTATAAGATTTAACGCCTAAGAGGCCGATCTGTGACCCTATTTTTAAGACTACCGAAATACCAGTGCCAGCCTTTTATCGTTTGGAATGAGGCTTTACAGTACTTGAATGCTGATATTCATATCCCTGGTGTATCTTCCACTTTTCCCTTGTAGAGCAATTATTGTTTCATCCAGATGAGAGGGCCTGAAGGCACTGTTTGTCTATTAACTTGTTTTGACACTGTATCAAAGTGATACTTTCTTGAGCAAAGCGTTCCTTCGTGGATCTAGGGGCCTGTGTTGATCCCCAACAATGACAGAACACATTCCAGAGACAAATTCTCCTGCGAATCAAGTGCGCCCTTGTTAGATCATAATGATTCTGCCAAGACAAAATGGCTCTGTGAAACTACAATCTAGAGTGACTGGAATGAGGGAGTGATACTGTCTTATGCTTGCATGCTCTCTTGTCTTAACTTGTTCCCTATGCAACTTCAGCCGAATCAGCGCGTTCCTTTTTACAGTCCTCCAAATCCGTACCAAAAATAAAATTACATTGTGATTGGAGGGTTTTATGGACTACTTCAATCTTCAAATGTCCAAGAAACCATTCATAATAAAACAAAAACACTCTTGACTCTGGGCTTGATGTTCGCTCTATTCCAACAATACCCTATACGCCGTCGTTGAACGTATAAAAGTTCATCCATCTCTGTAAAAAAAAGTATAAGTCACTGTCTCTGTTTGCTTAGGTTTCCAGTATATATTCAATAAAACTGACCTCATCATAAGGCTTGGACGAATCGCAGAACCGTAGATCTGTCGCAAGGCGGATGACATTATCCGGATCATTGTTGACAGTGGAAGCATGGATCTTGAGCAAAGGGTCAGTAAAGTCTGACCATGTAAAGAATAAGAAACTTACCATATGAGGCTTGTGCAAAACCGCATCACCCGCCTCATACGCCGACACCATCCATCGTCGACCATGCTCCCGAGCAAACTCAGTCGGGAACTCTGAGAGCAGGCCCGTAGACATCATGTTGGAGTTGAAAGCCGACTTAGCCTCTTCATCGGTCAGCCCAGCCTGCTTCGCTTTGGTATAGAAGGCTTCTTCCATTTCAATTCCAATTTTGTCACCTGTTGTGCAAACCCAATTAGTATACAAGTTCCTTTTTCCAAAATACCTTAACCGAAGACAGGGGTAAAAAACAAACCATTTTCCAAGTAGATCAATCCACCCCCATTGAGCTTGATATCTCCTATCGGGACCCAAGCAGTGATACTCGTCGGATCTCCATACCGGAGGAAGATCTGATCGTAGTGCACACCAATCGGTTTTGATCCAGGGAGATTGTTCCTAAGGAGCGTACGACGCAAGCTCAATGTATTCTTTCCCCAATCCGAGAAGCGCGCAATAAAATCATACAGCGCGGGATGGTTACAGAATTTCTTCGCGTACCAATCCTGGTAGTGTGCATCGAGAGCAAGATCAACAAAAGCCGCTGCTCGCTCACCACCGGGCTTGCCGTTCCCGCCAATGTGTCCTGCTCCAATACCAGGGTAATCTAAATGGTTCTTGGCGGGGTCGAAGACACCTTCGACGGGTGCTGTGCCGGGCTTCAGGACTCCTGTTGATTCCAGGGAGGAGAAGTATGCATCGCGGGCGGCGAGAACGTCCTCGCGGGGGAGGATTCCTTTTAGTAAGAGGTAGCCGTCCTCGTCGTATCGTTTGCGGAGCTCTTCTAGGGGGAGGGTAGGTTCTGAGGGGCGGAGGAGGGTGGCATTCTCTGATGTCAAGGGGCCGTCATTGACAGCGAGGTTGTCTACTTGGATGCCGACCATGTTGGGTGTGGTGAGGAAGTTTAATTCAAATACTCAGACAAGTCGGGCGGTGCCATCTTATATTCCTCGTGCGCCGGTAGTCCGTGGTCATGGAGGGGTATACTATGAGTATCACGTAGTGAAAACATCCAACCAGAATGCAAATAAATCAATGCTAACACTGATACCCCACATAGTTTGATTGTACGACTGCATTGATGTCAGAAGGCTTGGAGATGCAATAGTAAAGAGTAATATTCCCCGTGGTCGGGGGAGGAGCTCATTACCCTTTTTGACGATATGTGGAGGCGCCAATGTTCATCCGCGGGGGAAATCGCTCTTTTGTGTGTTCTCCCATGACACGGGTAAATCGTACATCGACCACATCGATCCATGGATGTCACATCATATGGCACATCCAGCCGAACAGCTAATATCTATTCTATCGATTTCCCATCCTCACAGTGGACTAAGACAACCCCGTTTTCTTACTTATTTACCATTCGCAAGGGTGATGGTGAATTACGGCCGCCCATCAAAAGACTGCTTCCCGTGCCGAAATCGGAAGCTCCCTCCTGAACCATGAACGAAAAGCGGCATGCTAAAAATGATTGCGAAACATTTTCATTGGTATATTGGGGGAATTGGTAGATCGTAGATAATGTTACGTATTTAGGGAATAGGTTAATAAGCCCTGAAGTAATGGTCTCGTACTTGAGTCATTCTTTCGCGTTTAAACTCAATGTATATATATACATCGGGCTAGTTTTCTCGGATATCAAAATAGATGTCGGATCACCCTCGGCATAGTGCTCGAAAAGCTTCATCAATAGTGGCTCCAACCTTCTCTCACTTTTTGATTTTTCCCCTGTTTACCGTACCCCATACCTTCAAAGTCTCTGCCAGTTCCAACAAAAAAAGGTTCCACGGAGTATTAGGAATTACTCGCTATGCTAGCGTTCTGTCGAGAAGCTCAGCTGCGCCAAATTGTTGGTTAGTCGAATCGAACACCTGGGACTCCGGTTAGTACTCTGTAGCCATCGCGGATAGCTATTAAGTAACTTCCGTACCGCATACAGTCCCTGCAAGAAGGTATCGCCCAAGATATCAAACTCAAGATCTCCCCGCGATTGAAATCCGCCATAAAGATATCCTGGTTTGGACCGATGGTTACAAAATCCCAAGGCATGTTTATGGACTGCGATATGATGGCAGCCGACCCCCAGTCGCACTACGGGCAAATTAGAAGTGGGGATGTCCGCTGGAAACAGATAACCGCGCGCTTCGGAATCGTAATAACTTCCCGGAATGGAATTATACAAGGCTCGAAGCAGCTGGTCATCGACGAGGGCTAGGGGGCCGACTGTGTCAACAATGGCAGCGTTCTCGGGAGGACGTTCAAGTTGAGTATCGTTAATCAGGGCAGTGGTGGATGGGAACATCCACCGGTCACCACAGAGTGGGGCATATCGGATGGGTGTTTCTGCGCTCGCCAGAGTGGGTGTATGGATAAAGCCAAAGGTGAAGAAGCTGACTTTCTGTTCCGGATCATTAGGGACTCGCCAATTGCCAAATTTGGCCGTGAACACGCCAGCTTTGCTAGCGACGGGGCTCCTCGGGGCGAGCCCTAGATACCCCATTCCGTGGTATTGGGATTCTCGATCATTCGGAGGTATTAGCTTGAAACCAAAATTGGACAATGTGACACCATTTATTTGTAGTAGATCCGCACCGTGTAAGGGATCTCTCGAACCACTAATCCCCGGGGCAAATGTAGTGGAATTTGACGGAACAAAAGCGGCGAGGTCAACCGGACTAGGTATAGGGCTACCTTCGCCAGAGGATGTGGCCGTGATCTGGTGATGACCGATGGCTCAGTCCCTTCAATGAAATCTCCGCATCGGACTCAGAATTTGACGTACCACCTGACTGTCACTCCTTATCACATCGAAGTCTAGATGTAGTAGTTGGGCCGGTGTTCCCAAAATGACAGGGCATGTGTAGTGTGTATCGTTCTGAAAGTCGGCATCGGATGCCACATTTGTATTAGTTCTCTGACCAGCGATTATCTAGTAGGCAGCATCATTGTTAGACAACAAGATATATGAACTCGTGGTAGCGAGATTACCCGAGGCTTCGCTTCTGACGGCTCGATGTCAAGGCCCGTCAGAGAAGATGTGAATCCCCATCGTCGATGAGCTGACGCATAGGATGCCGGCCCCGAGCGTAAATAGTCGGAATTGTGTTTTCTAATCACCCGTTGGTGCTCCATTATAATGAGTTGAACAAAGAATGAAGACACTGTAAATGCGTACTATCGTGGAAACGAGGATTTTATATCACGTCCCCGTTGATTCCGGGCGGGGGTTGGGCAGAAGTCAGGTAACCCCTCAAGGGAAAGTCTATTGGGCTATTTCCACGGCAATACACGGCTATGATCTCATAGCTGTAGGTCGTGTTAGACTTTTGATGAGAGAGAAGAAACGAAGCGTACTCTATTGAGGGCCTGTTTGAGTCTACAAGAAAGTAGATGAGATCATGAAGGCACAATGTGAGGTATTGTGTAGTGTAGTGTAGATGTATAATATACATATATAGAAGGAAAAGGAAACTAGTATACCACTATGGGCGATAGATCATCTGATACATGGGAGATATTCAAACAAGACTAAGTTCTCAGAGAGGGAAAGAGAGAGAAAGGGGGGGGACAGCCATCATATAACTTTTTTTTGAGCGACAGAAATCTTCATTAATCACTTCGACCATGTCGAATAATATCTTTCACTAGCTCACTTTCTGTGTCTGCTTCAACCATTGCTCGAAAGACGCTGTGTTCTCTTGCCATCAACTCTGCGGGAGACCCGAATTCGGCGGTCCGCCCTTGTTGTAGCACAAGCACACGGTCGAAGTCAGCAATTGATTGCAGGCGATGAGCAATTGCCAGTATGGTAGTTTTTGGAAAGGCGGCCCTAATAGACTTTTGGATTAAACTATCGGTGACCTGATCAACCGAGGAAGTCGTCTCATCGAGTACCACGATGGGCGCTCGGGCGACAGTTGCCCGCGCAAGGCACAGCAACTGTCTTTGCCCTTGAGAGATATTTGAGCCTTCTGCCGTGATGGGGGTATCTAAGACCCCGCCTTGGTTATTGTCTTGGAACCCACCATTCCAAGGCCAGTGCACGGACTTGAGGGCCTCGTGGAGCTCGCAATCATCATGCTTCTCATAAGGATCCAAATTACTGCGGATAGTCCCAGAAAATAGAACAGGAGTCTGTGGAATGAGGGTAATATGGCGCCTCAGTGAGTCCAGGCTAACCTGGGTGATATCGATGCCGTCCACCATGACCATCCCTTGCTCAATATCGATAAACCTAGTTAAAGCCAAGGCGAGCGAGGATTTTCCCGCCCCAGTTCGCCCAATAATACCTATACGCTGTCTTGGCAACGCTTGGAAAGTGACACACTCGAGGACAGGCGGTAGTTCGGGTGCATAGCTTGCCCCAAGTCCTGTCACCTCGAGGCGACCTTCGGCCATCGGCAACTCGACGCAGTGAGCAGGGCTTTCATGTTCAGTTTCGATATTGCAATAGTCAAGCATCCGCTCCAAACTATTCAGATCCATCTCCAGACTGGTATACGAACTCAGTAAAGCGCTCAGATGACCGGCCAGTCTGATAGTGAAGCTGACAACAAACCCAACGCTGGGTGCATCCATACCGCCGACGAGGACAACCACGCCCGCGGTGGATGCAGAAAAGACCGCACCGATGAATCCCATACGGAATCCAACCCACTGGTCAAGGAGCCGTCGATGCCACACAGCTCGAGAGTACAGATCGATGTGATGGCAAGCAATGTCGCGATACCTTTCTGTGCGCCCAAAAGCCCGGATGGTAGTCAGGCCTGTGATGGCTGTCATGAAATGGTCAAATATGGGACTGAGTGCAATGCTCTCAAGCCGTTTGACTTCCCGTGTTGTCTTCAAGTAGTCGGCGGCATACCACAGGGTGAGCAATGAAATCGGTATGGCGCAAACGACGGAAACAGGGTTAACAACAATGGACGATGTGATAGCCATTATAGCGTTCAAAGCGAAAGCCAGAACAAGTCTTATGTCCTGGCCAATGCGTGTGTCCAATACAGCACAGTCAACCGAGAGCCGGTTGATTAGACTGCCAATCGGCGTCATGTCAAGCCAGCGCAACGGTGCCCGGAGAATGACATGCAGGAGTTGCTGGAAAAGCGTTTGAGATCCATGAAACGTCAACATAAGCACGACGTAGTTTCTAACGCTCCCCAAGATGACTGCAACGACGGATAAAAGAATGTAAAGATGGATAAACCCGATATTTTGGCCCCAACTTTGTGGTTCAACTTCGTCTTCCTGTGTCCACATCTTAATAACATATGCCTACATCCAGTCAGTCACGAATACCTGGCCATCAAAGCATATGTATTAATCACTTACCTGTCCCATCATTACTACTGATGCGACTACAAATAGCGCGCACACCAGGGCCCATGTGTATGAGTTGGCACACCACGCGATAAACCGGCGAATAATCTTCAGACTGGGTGCCCCCAGCTGTCGACTGGCTTCCTCCACTCCGGTACGACTGTGAGTCCCACTTTCTTTCGGTGGCTCTGTCGAGGGTGCAGCTGTGTCAGAATTGTCTTTGCTCGGCGAAAAAGGACATTCTTTGAGGAAATCATCCAGTCCATGCTGCTGGCTTTTGGAAACGTGGTAGGGGTGCTTCTGGATGGGATCCACCCAATGGGCTGAATACGATCCCTGTCCATCCAAGCATACAACATAGCTCGTGCCGCGCATGCATAGATCGACGTGGTAGGTAGCCAAAACGCAGGTTCTTCCCATTGCTAGCTTTCCATTCAAGGCAAAATCCACCAGATGGTGGGCGGTAGCCCCGTCCACCGCACTCAATACGTCATCCAAGATCAACACCGGCGAGTCTGAATATAGAGCGCGTGCTAGCGACAGCCGAGCCTTTTGTCCACCACTGAGGGAGACCCCGTTTTGACCCACGGCTGTTCTATCGCCTTCAACTAGCGTGTCGAGATCCGCTTCTAGGGCGCAAGCAAATAGAACCTCACGATACCGATCCCCGCGATATGGACTGCCGAAAAGAATGTTGTCTCTCAGAGTCCCGCCTTCAACCCACGGTTGCTGGGAAACATACGCCAGGGGCTCGCGGGGTGCTCTCACGGTACCATGACAGATATCACTTTCGCCCAAGATCGCTGCCAGCAGAAGGCTCTTACCACTACCAGTTCTTCCGGCAATGACTGTCCGTTTACCTCGAGGAAATGCCAAATGGACATCATGTAAATTAAAGGAATGACGAGCTCCAGGCCAACAAATTGTAGCATGGTCAAATTCGATCTGGCTTCCAGCAACGACGGGTGCTAATGGGCGTGTACCATCGAGATATTCGCGGAGACGATCCATCGATACAGCAGCTCCTGACCACATAATCAAGATGTCGGGAATATTGTTAAGGGCCCTCTCGAGCTGAGCCAGAAGGGTGACCGAAGTGAAGGCCGTGGAGGCGGAGAAATGCCCGGACAGCAGTGCATAGGTCGAAAATGTCACGGCCGACAACAGGATGGGCTCCGCGAGAAAGATGGAAGTCATGGCCACCTTCCAAAAAATGGCATTTGACTGGTGTTGGACTTCAATCGCTCGCAACCTGCGGATTCGCCCCTCCCATATGCCCTCCATGGCCAGAAATTTGACCAACCGGATTCCATGAAGGAGTTCTGTGAGCCTGCTTGTCTTCTGGTCTTGAGATTCTAGTACAGCGCCCTGAGCGGATGTGTATCTTCTCATCACAATATCGGAGAGTAATACAGTCGACAGTAGCGATCCAAGACCGGCAAGAACACTCAACCAACCTAGAAGGCGGATCAGCAGTATCGTGGCAATGACTGCTTGCAGGGGAATTTCCCATAGCTGATATATATTGCCAAGGAATTTAGAAATTTGCATTACATCCGTAGCCACAAGATTAATAACACTTGGAGCGGCTGGTATAACACTGTCGTCGGGTCCATTGGTCTTTTTCTTGGTCGGACCACCGCCTTGCGTGGCCTTGCCAAAGAGCGTCGCGGACAGCTGGGAAAAGACCCGTATCTGGATAATATTATCTGACAGCCACGATTTCCACATGTTCAATGAGCTCACAACTGCCATAGAAACCCCCAGAAGGGCAATCAAACCCATAGGGAGCATGCTCGTACTTTGATCTCCAGGTCCAGATTCTAGCACCCGTAACAGCTTGAGGAGACAAAATTGAGGCGCGAACGTAAACACGATGGAGATTGCAGACACAACCAGCTGACCTAGTATGGCATGTTTATGTGAACGAAGCAAAATATGCCACGGCCCAGTCCCTGATTTGGCAGCCGAAATCCTGGAAAAAGAGCCATAGAGCTTAGTTGCACGAGTGAGGTGGTCGAGCTCCGGAAGGTCTGTCAAGGCAATGTAATGGCTACATTTAATTTTTTGAATCAGATCCCCCGCCCAGGAGTAGGTCATACGGCTGATATAGGATGTGGCATGTTGGCGGTCCACGATTACTCCGTTGTGGTAGATATCTTGTGTCCTGGGAAGGACTAACCAGCATGGTGCGGCTAGAGTAGTTGCCGATATCTGGACACAAACAAACGGAAGAGATGTTGACGCTCGTCCTTCCGTCACCCATAGTATGTGTGAATATAGCCCCAGCACGATTATCGATATCAAGCAGCTTAAAGCAGCTCGAAGGCCCTTGTAATAGCTTCTGGTTGTTTCGGGATCGACAAGAACTGCTGCTGCTTGTGCGACGACCAAGATCTATATTGATGGTTCTATTAGCAACATATTTTCAATGCGTTCATCACTTGTGTTTAGGCAAAAGTCCGAGAAGTACATACCGACGTCACGCATTGCAGTAATTGAAACCGCAAGTTCTCCGCCGATCCAACCTCGACCAGAACGACTGACAATATTGATGTCAACACGGTGAGGCAAACGGCAAACTTCTCAGCCCAGCAGGGTGACCTTCGGCTGTCAGCGACCTTCTTTGTTTCCTCGTCGTCGGACTCGATGTCTATAACCACTGATGCTGGTGACCGACAGTGGGCTATGGAGAGACGATCGGTTATATCGTTCATGCCGAACATGGTCAAAACAGCCACCACACCTAGCCCACCCATGGCCGTCGGCACTAAAAAGTTTCGAATTTCGAGCATTGTCCGGGATGGTGCTCAAGGTTAGGGCCAGTTAAGTTTTGGGGTAGTGAGGACGCATACCCTCTCTTCAATTTAACTTTTCTCAGTCTTTGGGCTTGCTAGGGCATACATATGTGCAAAGCCCGAGTGTGTACCATATACCTTGGCTACTACAGGTAGCCACCAAATGTTTACCCCCTTCGGGCTCAATTGATATCAAATATTGACTAAAGAGGTTGTGACCAATATTCAAATGACATGCAGGGCGGCTCGATCAGTGAAGAGAATATGCTAGTATGCGGCTATGATCTTCGGGCCCCCATCGGCTTTCGGGTTGCCGGTATGCAACAAGGGATGATGTTGGTGGTCCCAAGGCCCTGGAATTGGCGGAACTCGAACGGCTGGATCATGGAGAGGTCCTCGCAGCTATAACGCAAGGTGGGGCCAATCTATTGAGACAACTTGTCAATAGAAAAAGCGAGATCACTCCAAATAACTTCGGTTGACATATATGCTGCTCTTGGGGGTTTAGTGGTGTATACTTCAATCTGCTAGAAATCGTGACATCTCATTTTCGAGACACCCTGGAGTGAGGACCGTCATATTCACGAGGAGGATTTATCTCCCGATGCGTCCGCAATAGAGTTTTTACCAGAGCTACCCTGTCCGCTGCGCATACCTGTCTAATATTGCTTACGAGGCTGAAAAGAATATTGATCGTGTATGTAGCACAAACTTATACTATATAGGTCGGCAAGCGAGATGGGGGGTTCCACTGATCTCATCCGAAGCAATTGAGCTCAGGCTTACACCCTGATCGTTCCCGCTCGGTGATCCTCAATTTATTGGTATATTCTGCATGAAGTTAAAAGGATACCTTGCTGATGGGTAAGAAGGACAGAGAATGTGTACGTGTAGATCCATATATATCTTTGTACAACATACAATGCGAATACGCATATCTGGTCTAGGATAGGGGTTAAGGCAAGTCACAAAATAAACAAGTGCCAGAAAAAATACTATTATAACAAATCAAATCATCCCGTGACCTTGCAGTCATGATTATCAGGAGATTTATTGTACTGTGTTCTATTTTTACTGATCGTGGCTGATGCACCCCGGATCCAATACCAAGATATGTGGAAGGAATAGTTATGCTACCTCCTCCGTACTCCGTCCAATAATACACACTCGGGGGTTCAGGGATCTCCACGATACAGTTACGTTTGGGCAATACAAATAAATGCCACGGCGTGCATTAAAATGATTAAAATGATATCATCGTGCTTCTAGGAGCACGGTCGTCGGCCCATCTCTGTCGTTTAGGATTGGGTTATCACATTCCTTCAATTTCCGATGGCTTTGACTCACTCGGTCCCCTGCACGCCCTTCAAACTTGCATAAGACCATTCGGTGAGTATTTTTCCCTCTATCGCAAAGATGACCACTGCATAGTCCACTTGCTCTAACCGGTGAGCAAAAGAAAAGATAAAGAAGCAAAAAAACAAATAATTTAATAGCCACCCAGCTAGGAAGACTCGATTTACGAACCAAAAAGGAAAGAAAAAGAAAGAAAGAAAGCTACTACTATGAATGAGAGACATCAACATATTCCGGCTTCGTCCGCGAATTCCTTTCTTCCGGAGGAGCAAAGATCTCTCCTGGTTCATCCTACTTTGAACAGCGACATTATCGAGGAAGACACGCAGCCTGAACGCGCTGCTCATGGTCAAAATGTCTCTTGGCTCTCCGCTTATATGCTTATCATATCTCGCATGGTCGGATCGGGTGTTTTTGCGATGCCCGGAGTTGTGACCCAGACGGCCGGCAGCGCGGGCATGGCGCTGTGTGTTTGGATCATGGGGGCCATCATAACAGTGTGTGGAACTGTCATTTCCCTTGAATATGGGTGTATGCTGCCACGAAGTGGGGGCGATAAGGTCTATCTGGAATTCACGTATCGACGGCCGCGTTGGCTCATGTCCACTATCATTGCTGCCCGCGCCGTTCTACAGATGATGACTGCCAATAACTGCATTATCTTTGGGGAATATCTGGTATATGGCATATCTCCGGAGTCTTCTGACTGGGCTCGTAAGGTAGCCTCGCTGGGTTTGTTGTTGGGCTGTGCCCTAATCCACGGCTTCTTCCTCCGCCTCGGAATACAGATACAAAATACTCTCGGCTGGTGTAAAATCGGTCTGATGGTCCTTGTCGCTCTAACAGCCATGATCACCGTGTTATATAGGAGCACCGGCTCATCTTCCCAACTCCCTTCGGACTTTGTGGTCGCATCTCCCCAATCACCGGGACCATGGGAAGGCTCAAACTGGGGCTTTGAGGTTTTGTCCCTGGCATTGTTCAAAGTACATTACGCCTACGCGGGCGTAGAAAATGCAAATAACGTCCTGAACGAGATACGGGACCCTGTCCGCATGTTGAAACGAGTGATTCCACTGGCTATCCTCAGCGTGTGCTTTCTCTACATTCTCGTCAATATCGCATTTTTCATGGTCCTGCCGCTAGACGATCTGAAGCACAGTGGGGAGATGGCAGCGGCATTATTTTTTCGCACGCTGTTTGGGAATCGCCTTGGAGGCGTGTTGATGCCCATACTGATTGCCATCTCTGTGGCCGGAAACGTCATGGTCGGCATTTTCAGCATGGTGTGTCTTTCAGATTTTGGTTTAAATCAACATTGCTAATGCAGCCTATCGCGCAGTCGAGATTAAATCAAGAGATCGCACGCCAGGGCTTCCTTCCCCGAATTTTCGCCTCCTCTAGGCCGTGCAATGCACCGCTGGGCGGCGTGATTGTGAATTTGGTTCCTTCGGCGTGCATTATCCTCATGATGCCATCCAAGGATACCTACTCTTTTATCTTGAGTGCTGAGGGGTATTCTGGTCAGTTTGTAAGTGTTGGCCTGGCGGCCGGGCTGCTGTGGCTGCGACGTACAAGACCAGATCTCCCCCGTCCATTCCGCGCGTGGCTGCCCTTGGTCTGGTTTCGGTTGGGTTTGTGCGTCGTCATGGCCTTGGGCCCATTCATGTCCCCTAAAGATGAACAAAAGCCAGGTCAGCCTCAACCGTGGCGCGGAGCATACGCGCTTGTTGGGATTGCAATGTACGTATCTCCACATATTCCACCGCCACGGATGAAGACAAATATCAAAGAAAGGATTGGAAAAATGCTAAAATACAACTTTGAGTATACAGAATTGCCACCGCGGCCCTATATTGGCTCACCTGGGCAAGGATATTACCTCACTGGAAGAATTACGCCTTACAAGAACAGAGTGGAATCTTAAAGGATGGTACGACTTATAAAAAGATTGTCCATATCCCTCGCGACGAATAGAGTTCAGAACTAGGGAGAAGTGTATTGTCGCAACTGATTGAGAGTACATATTTAGTTGATTTTAGCTGTCCACGTATAACAGTGAACATATCCTATTAGACAGATTCAATGCAGAATAACGAAGGTTCTAACCCTAAGTGAATATTCAGATTTTGAGTGTGTACTATTCCCAGAGTATATTCATCAAAGCATGGCCGTTTCAAGATGCCGTTGATTACGTTATTTGCCACTCTGTCAATGGTAATTTCTGCAGAAAAAGAACTGTTGGCCGGATGAATAGAAAGAAAAGAATAGTTCCAACCATAACACAGAGAATATTGACAATATGATATCCGTCCCCGACCACCTGACAAGATTGTGTGGCAACTTTAAGCGCAATGTCTCCGGGAACAATAACTGGCCCGCAGCTTGTCACCTCAGTTAGATCGATCAGGAACATCACTAGCGAGCGAGGAATGGTTTTACCCATATTTTGGGCTCTAATCGTACGTCAGTTTCAGATATCGCTCCGGCAGGCGCTACGTAGGATATAGAGACTTACGTTGCCAACAGTGTGAGGTAAGTGCTTCCGAATGCTGGGTCGGATACTTGCAGGTGGAATGTGAGAAAGGACACGAACATAATGGTAGCTGTACTAGTTGAACAAGCGTGCTCTACCACCACCAGGGCGAAAAGCAAAGGGTGATTTGGGTCTCGGGGCCCAGAATTTAAAGCGATAATAAGTTGTGCTAGAAGCACGGCAATTGTACGGCCAACAAATGCCCAACACCAGAGTTCAAGGGGGCGAAATTTGACACAGAGGAATTTCGTGCTGTACGAGCTCAGCATGTCCATGACGAGATCAATTGTAGATACGATGGCTAGGTTGGCTTCCCCAAAGCCCTGGTCCAATAGCTTGAGGTTGGTGGCGGCATCGTGCGCTTCAAAGGAGATTTGAGAGAGAAGATGCACTAGGGTGGTCATTAGAAGTGGCTTCAGACCAAATAATTCCAACGTCCTCTTATACGCGGCCTTGACTGACATTGTCTGCCGCTCCTGGCCCGGGAAAATGACCTCAGGCGTACTTAGCACACAAGGGAGCGCGAGCCCCAAATTGATCAAAGCACAGAATGTCACGAAGCCCGACAATAGGTGATCAATACCATTGGGTGTTTGTGCTTGGGGTGGACTGTCAGACCGGAGCGACGCAATCCATAAGAACGCCGAGTACGAGAAGAATTCACCCAGCACCATACCCAGATGATGAGTGATCGAGACGTGGTGGGCATGGTCCCGAGAAAACAGTTCCAGAGCCCATCCGTCCGCTGCAGCGCCCTGGGTGGCACTGGCTAACACAACCACCAACAGTATAGTTACGACGAGCACCACTCCAGCATTTGCTGACAATATCATCTTCATAAACAAGGGCATATTCAACCCCAGTATCAGCAGACTCAACCCTGAAATGACCAGCGCTGGAACAATCCAACCCTTTCGGTGGCCCAGTTGCCGATTCCTCATGGCGTCGATTAATGGACTCCATAACGCTTTCAATGAATATGGATAAAGCGCGATGGAGAAGAGACCATTTCGCCCATAGGAGAGTCTCTCTCTGAGCACAACTGGGAAGGTGCCCCCAACCAAGCCTGCAATGACCCCTTGGCTGAAGTATAGGAGGAAGAGAAGGGTCATGTTCCTCCAGTAAGTCCATTGCCTCGTGTCATGGCCCTGGCCAATTGGGGAGAGCACTTGGTCATGTTGCATGGTCTTAGGGGTTGATTCCTCAAACCCGCTGGTTGCTCCTAGTTCGAATTCTCTGGGTATAGTGTGAACATGCGTACATCCATTCGAACTGTTAAGGGATGAGTAGATATTGTCACGGGTCAGAGCGCTCGGGATGCAATCATGTTGACTACCATGTTAAGAAGGTTTTCCCGAATGTAACCTTCAAACAGGACTTTTCCTGTTCCTCTTCAGCCAGCCACAAGTACATCGCTATGACCATGCGGGTGAGAATCGAGATAGATAGGAATATCCACATTGCATGCAGCTGGATAATGTAAAAGTATCGTAATACAGTGTATTACCAAGTGGGGATATAATACCAGCTAGTAAGAAAACAAAACGGCGTATACGAGGTTATATCGACTTGGGCCAATCACGGTGCGCAGAGACTTCATCGACTTTTTAAAGTTTCTACTCGATCAGGGGAAGAGAGGGGAACGTTTTACTTCCGAAGTTAGCGATATAGAATTCCAAAGAGGGCCGGATCCTTGTAGATCTGGCCGCCAAGGCGAGATACATAAACTTTGGCTACCCTATCGCGCATGAGACTAATAGAGCAGAGAGGAAGAGATGCACAGTAGCGATGCGCGCTCCAGGCGAGGTTAGACCTACGTGGCAGTAGCACCGGAAGACTGACTCTCTCATGCTCAGTGACGCAAATGGCGCCCCGACCCCTCAGGATGGATTCCAAACACGAAAACAATCGCTGTTGATCTTCGAGCCATCTATAGGAACCAGTTGATGAGTTGGGGGACTGAGTATTACTATGCATCGTAAACTGAGACTGCACAGTCAGGAGAGGGGGGAGGGGAGCGCTATCCGAAAAGAGCGGGATATATATATACTCCATATGGTCCGCAAAAATGTATATAACGGAACACATCTCTTGTGTCTTATAAGTCGATATTGATAAAGTTATCAGAAATTTGAACAGACTTAATTGTTCAAGCATCTTCACTCCTATATCACAGAACTATGCATTTCACAAAGGTTCTTTCCATTCTTGCCTTTGCTGGTAGCAGCGTTGCTGCACCAACCGGTATGTGTCTACTCTAGTCTGCCTTTGCTTCTACGTTTTACTAACTTGAAACGAAAGTCCGTCGAGACGTTGTTGGGGAGGGCAGCTACGCACGCGAAGTTGTTGGCGAAGGAAGCTATGCTCGCGATGTCGTTGGCGAGGGCAGTTATGCTCGTGACGTTGTGGGTGAGGGCAGTTATGCTCGTGACGTTGTGGGTGAGGGTAGTTATGCTCGTGACGTTGTGGGTGAGGGCAGTTATGCTCGCGATGTCGTTGGCGAGGGGAATTATGCTCGCGATGTCGTTGGCGAAGGAAGCTATGCCCGCGATGTCGTTGGCGAAGGAAGCTATGCTCGCGATGTCGTTGGTGAAGGAAGCTATGCTCGCGATGTTGTTGGTGAGGGCAGTTATGCTCGCGATGTCGTTGGCGAGGGCAGTTATGCTCGTGACGTTGTGGGTGAGGGCAGTTATGCTCGCGATGTCGTTGGCGAGGGCAGCTATGCTCGCGATGTCGTTGGTGAAGGAAGCTATGCTCGCGATGTCGTTGGTGAAGGAAGCTATGCTCGCGATGTCGTTGGTGAAGGAAGCTATGCTCGCGATGTTGTTGGCGAGGGCAGTTATGCTCGCGATGTCGTTGGTGAAGGAAGCTATGCTCGCGACGTTGTTGGCGAAGGAAGCTATGCCCGCGGCCAGAAATAGTGGAACCAACAATAGAACTACCGGAGCAACCTGCTACTATGCTCTGGATAGATTATTATTGTCACAACTAGGCATATACAAATTTGAATAGTTCCTCATTCATAGGTCTATGTATCCTATTAACCATTGAATGAAATCCCATTTCGGAAACTCTCAATGAGAACTATTATGACTTGAGTAAAACTTCCTAGATTCCATAATACTGCGCAATTACTACACTTCTACGGCTTATCTCACGGCATTTACGTAAAACATCAAGGATAACTAGATATCTCGATTTGGGCTCACCAGACAATTTACAAGAGGGGAAATGGGGGTAGGCTTCAGTATTGGCCTCAAGGAAATTAAGGAGAAGCAACTCGTAGATGCACTAGATCCAACCTAGAAATGATCGCTGCATGTCCGTCTATCTCTATACAAGCACGAAGTGGGGATAGGTTGCTATCAGATACATCAGGTAGCCACGGGCTACGTTGCATATTGTCCCCTCATTCCCTTGGACCCCAGGTGGTCATTGCGACTGGGGGCTATAAGTTATTAGCCAGCCCTTTGTGTTTGCCTTGTTCTGCACCAATTTTCCTATTCCCTCATATCTTCCTGTGTAGTTGGCATTCGAGGAAATCTCCAATTCTCCCCAGGTGCACATACATCGTGATTTTGTTCTTCAACATGGCACAGAACCCCAACATTCTTCTCTATACCGGAAAGACAGGCCCGGGAACCCCCAACGGCCGCAAGGTCTCTATTATGCTGGAGGAGCTAGGACTTCCCTACGAGATATACAATCTCAGTATCCCCGATGACGAGCAAAGATCGGAATGGTACTTGAAAATCAATGGTAAGACCTTGATCTACCTGCACTATTTTTCCTTGCAGTATGTAACGTAGTCTATTTAGCAAGTGGTAGAATACCCACGATCATCGACCGAACCGAACCTGACCACCCAGTTACCGTAACCGAATCGGCAGCCATCATGCTGTACTTGGAGAGCAAGTACGGAAAGATGGAGTTCTCCTATCCGCACGGGACGACTGAGTACTGGTCCATGATGGAATGGATGTATGATTCCCTTTTCTAATCGTCCTGAAACGGAGGGCTGACTGGCACCAGCTTCTTCCAAATGAGCAACATCGGGCCAATGCAGGGCCAATTCAACCATTTCAATGTCTATGCACCGGAAAAAGTTCCATATGCCATACATCGGTACAAAAACGAGACCCTACGGTTATATTCTATTATCAATCGACACTTGGCACAGTCGTCCTCGGGATGGTTGGTGGGTGACAAGTGTACGATTGCGGATTTGATCAACTTCACTTGGATCCATATTGCGGAGTTCAGTGGAATCAAGCTGGATGAAATGCCCGAGTTTCGGCCTCTGGCAGAGTGGCGTGCCCGGATTTCTGCCAGGGACGGAGTGAAGAAAGGGTGGGCTGTGCCCTCTTAGATCATGTTCCATTGCAGTTTCACTAAATTGGAATCTACATTTCCGTCGAGGCGGGTATTTCCTAGAGTCCAGACTTTTAGTGATGATCAATCGTATTTAAATGCAATGCTCGCTTTTACCTACTTTCACTTAAGTTTCTGTAGAGATTTCCACAGACTTCTGTTCTACGTATTTCACCTTGCTCAGTGTAACAAACGGTTTTTTTTTTTTAATTTTAGATGTCAATCTATCTCTTAGCTGTCTATGTACTGGACCTCTTCTTCCCTAGCTTCTCATCTCCCTCTGTCCTTCTCCCCGTCTCCCCGTCTGCCCCTCCCCCCTTTCTCTCTCTCTCTCTCATCAGCATCTACAGTCAGCACATCCTTATTTCCATTTCAGCTTCGTATCACTATTCCCTAATACACCAGGGGTTACAGCGTATGTTGTAAGCTAACAGAAATCAAACCACATTGATACAATTAAACCAAATTGATAGAAAGATGACTTTCAGTTTTAATAATTTGTAGCGGACCTAATCCAAGCGATTGTGGAGATGCTCATACTCATACTAAGATAAAGAGCTCACCGACTCGATTCACCCTTCACTACATTTCCAAAGTTCGGCTATTGGGGTCATAAAATGGCCTCTCACCGTACACCGAGCAACGTTTCCCCTCCCTCGTGCTTTTCTCATAGCCCCCTGGTATTGGTCGATGGGTGACAATTCGATTATCCCAAAATGCCACACTACCAGCAGTCCAGTGCCATCGTACGCTCAAATCATCGGCCTCATGTAGGTGTTCACGTAAAAAGTTCAACGTGTGTGCCGATTCCTGTGCCTTGAGCTCCGGAATGTGTGTTGTGTAGACTGGGCTATAATAGAGAGACTTCAATTTAGTGACTGGATGGGTTCGAACCTAGGAAAATTGGTGAGTTTGTCTCTTGCAAAAACACATAAATCAAAGAAACTTACTAGAGGATGTTCCCATCGGCCAGGTAAGGTCTTCATCGATCGACCTCTGTTGATGGCGTTCACAAAAACATGCTAGATCCATGGCATTAGCTGGTTGAAATATTGAGGTGTCGGAAGCTGGCTTACCTCCGATGTGTGGGTGGCATGGAGCCCTTCAAGGAGTTTCTGGTATGGCTTGCTCAACTGGCTGAACAGCGCGTACTGACTGACAAAAATAGTATCACCGCCCGTCTCAGGGGTCCGGACCATTCTGAGTAATGTGTAAGACGAGGGATTGGGTTGAAAAGAGAGGTCCGAATGGAATTGACCGGAGTTGGTGCCCTCATACGACCGAATATCCCTAGAACAATTTCAGTGAAGTCCGTAGGAAGTGGGTCGGACCTCTGTTTACGTGTCTCTGCCAACAATCGTGACGTGACGAGGATCAGACTGATTTGGCTCTTGATTGACCTGCAAGGTCGGTATTAATGGGCCTCTCTGGTCATTGATTGTATCTGGCAAGCCGATCTGGAATGAGACATACCGGACCAAAATGCTTAATGAATTCGTATTGACCGTCCGAGTCTAACTTCTGGTCCCGTAAGAAAACGACTCCTCGCTACATGCCAGACCACGACGCTTGTCAGATGTTTCGAATTGAATTTTAGAGAGGGTAGAAGTCGAACCTCTGCAGCTAACAGGGCCAAGTCATCCTTTTGCTCAACATCGAGCTGATCCAACTGAATTCCTACTAGCTCTGTCCCGACATAGGGCGTCAGGGGAATGACCTGGGCTGCCTTTGAGAGCAATCGTCGCTTCTCCGGATCAGCGTATGTCCCTCGATCCTCTGTAATGTCCAATGGTGTTGGTAGAGGGATCTCTGGCTTGAAGGATAAGACCGTCTCGGTGATTCCGCTGTGAATAAAGGCCATAATGAGATTTAGTTCGAATGAGCATATGCCTTTCCTTCTGATTGTATGTAACAGCGATTCCGTCTGCTTTTCGACCAAATTTATTTTGTAATCTCGAGGGATGCTTCAGTTGGAAGACGATCTTTGCCGAGTCAAGTATAGAAAATGTGCTCCGTGCATTACAATAAATTGCGGTATCATTCAATTCATCACCAAAAATAACCCGTGACTCTGCACGTCTGCAAATATCTCTGCATCTGTATGCACTATTGAAGGACTGTGCTCGTTGCTCGTCAAATGACGTGTTTCGTTGGCCTGGCACTTCCAACTTTACCTCTTCCACCCTGTGCCGCCCTCTTTTTTCATTTTGATGCTCCAGCGCGTTCACCATAGATCCCGTCTCTAAATCCCGTCACACTGTCCATATGTTGGTTTCCTACTTGGCCCTCCTTCTCTGGGCATCAGTGGCGCAATGGATCGATTTTATGAAACCCTGCTCTCGGAAGCATTGGCAGGCCGCTGCCAGTAGTGAAGTTGATGTCTGTACACAGATAGGTTTGGACTTGAGTGGTCAAGGGGGCAATGCGGCAGATATGGTGAGAAATGACCCTTGATTGGTGAGTGGTACTAATGATGACAGGCCGTGGCAATGGCATTTTGCTTGGGCGTGGTGGGCATGTATCACAGTGGGTATGTTATACTCCGTACTTTTTTTTTTCTAGTTTCTTTCTTCTTGACACCTACTCCCACTGCAATTCTAGCTGACCGACTCTCTTGCGATCAGCATTGGCGGCGGCGGATTTGCTTTGATACGGACCCCCGCAGGCAACAGCGAGGTCGTAGATTTTCGAGAGGAGGCCCCAGCACAGGCGCATCGAGACCTATTCGACGGACGCCCAGACGCTCGCGTAGTGACGGGCCTTGCAGTAGCTGTCCCGGGTGAGCTGCGCGGGCTGCAGACGATCCACACTCGCCACGGACAGCTACCATGGAGCGATGTCGTGGCCCCTGCAGTGCACCTAGCGCGCAGGGGATTCGAAGTGTCAGCCGACCTTGTGCGTTTCATGGAAGGAGCGATTGAGGGCCGCGACGATTTCTTCTTGACTGAACCATGGGCGGAGGACTTTGCCCCTGATGGACCCCGCGTCACCGTGGGGAGTACCATGACCCGTCACCGATATGCTGACACGCTCGAGAAGATCGCTACTCTAGGGGCCGATGTGTTCTACACGGGGCCCATGGCCCAATCAATGGCTGGATCAGTTCGTGATGCTGGGGGCATCCTCACGGCCGACGACCTGTCCCAGTACCGCGTGGTGATCCGAGAGCCAGTTGAGGTGTCCTACCGTGGCTTCATTCTACGCAGCTGCCCCAGCCCGGCTGGCGGGCCAGTAACGCTGTCCATATTGAAGACACTCGAGGGATTCGACCCCGCAGCCCAGGCCGGTTTTAATGTGTCTTGTCATCGTCTCAACGAGGCCTTTCGTTTTGGCTTCGGCGCCCGCACCCAGCTAGGGGATCCGCGATTCACCACTGAGGTGCGGCAGCGAGAGGAGGCCATTCTGACCGACACGTATGCTACTTATGTGCGTTCCAACATTTGGGACGGAACTACGCGACCACGAGATGTCTATAATCCCAGCCAACAGCAGATTACCACGTCGGTGAGTGGATCCTTTTTGACTTCATTGTGCCCGGTATCTGTGAATTCCACTCATGCGCTACGGAAAACAGGCGGGCACTACACACCTGGTTGCGGCCGACCATAGCGGTCGAACAGTGTCCTTGACATCCACGGTGAATAGGTACTTTGGCTCGCATGTCATGGACAACCAGACGGGGGTGATTTTCAATTGTCAGATGCAAGGTTCGTGAACCCTTCTTACCCAGCACTTGGAGGCTATCTAACTAAGTCAAACAGATTTTGCACTTCCCAGTGCGCCCCGATCTCCGGCTGGCCCTCCGGCCAACGAGATTCATCCTGGCCAGCGTCCATTATCGTCGGCGTCCCCTCTCATTATCGAATATCCCAACGGAACGCTCTTCCTTAGTATGGGCGCTGCCGGAGGACCCAAGATCATTACGACTTTGGTGCAAATCATCCAGCATGTGTTGGATGGCCAGTTTTCCCTCGTCGATGCCTTGGCGGCTGCCCGTATGCACGACTCACTTACGCCTAATCAGACATTGCTGGAGATACCAGGCTACGGCACTCAAGGGTTCAGCAATGAAACGGCAGAATTCCTACGTTCGGTGGGTCATCAAATTGGCTACATCGTGCCAACCAAGAGCGCCGCCCACATTGTTGGCTGGAGTGCGGATGGCCGCTTGGAGGCCGCAGCAGATCCAAGGCATGCACGAGGAGGGGCTGGAGTACGTAGATTATGAGAATATATGAAATGAAACACATTTTTATCTTTTACTAAATCTCGGGGATTGTGTAATCAAATACATCTCTCACTGCTAGGTCGGAATACCATTAGTGGGATACACTTTCAAAGGGCGTTTCAAAAGGCCGCTCGGCCTGGGGTGTAATTCGCGCCAAGTGCCGGCGTTCCTGGCTCGCCCAATCAAAGATGGCCGAATGGGCTGTTGAACGGTTCTGGAGGGCAGTTAGCGATAAGCAGAGTATGGGATCGTATGAGAAACCCACATCCCACAGAACGACCATGCGCGGCTCCCAGTGGAGGCGGAGTTGAAAGTCTGCACCAGAAAGGGTGTGTTGGTAAAGGAAGTTGAGCAGCATGTCGCTCTCTTCGCGCTTCATGCCGACGATGTGTCGCGAGACTGGGTAGGTCAGATGGCATATTTCAGGTGAAACCAGATCAACACAGGGAGAAACGTACATTGTTTATTCACAAAAAGCGCCTTTTCACCCGTGACGGGATGTGTTCGCACAAGCGGATGAACCGTCTCGATCGGTTCTCTGCGCAAGATGCCACCTTTCTTGCGGTTATACTCGCCCTGTTGAACGGCAGAGTGGACCACTTGAAGGCCATGAAGCCGTTGCTGGAAGACTGGGGACAGGCGGCGGTAGGCCTCGGCCTGGTCGGAGAAGAGCGTATCACCACCAGACTCGGGGATCTCCAGGTTATACATTATGGTTGTACCCGGAGGTTGCTGTTCGTAGGTGACATCCGAGTGCCAGGCCACCGAGCTAGTGCGGCCTTCGAAAAAGCCTTCAAAGCTGGAGTCTCCGGCTCCCCGGTGGGCGATTTGGATCTCGGGGTATTTGTCTGGACTTCCATTGGTAGGATGGATGTGATGTCGACCAAAATGGCTACCCCAGGCCAGCGCATCGGGGATCGGTAGATCTGCAAAATCTTGATTGCAAAATATGACCACTTTTCGTTGCGCGACGAGGAGAGCCAGGTCATTTTTGGCAGCAGCGCTCAGCCCCCGGATCTGGAGTGAACCGTGTACTTTGGTACCGATCGTGGGGGTCAAGTGCTCAAGTGTACAGTGGGTTGATAGAAGATTAAAAAGCTTCGGGTCGGCGTCAAGGCCTGGATCACGGTGCTCGAATGGCTGGAGTGGAGGATACTTTTGTTCGTGGCTCCAAGTTGGGAGATAATGAGGATACTACAATTTAAGACCATGAGCCGACGGCATCAATAGAAAGGGCGGTGCATGTTGTATTTTCTCACGCTAGCAGAAGGCCACTTTTCATTTCCATTTATCTCTACCTCATGATTAAACTCGCGTGGGCCAGGTAGCAAATTGCCGGTTTTTGGCTGGAGAGGAGACTGTTGCACGTGGGTAGAAGACATTGGAGATAAAAAAAAAAGGGATCACTTTGCGTGCATGAGGCAATAACGAATCAATAATACGTGATATGCGAGAGAGCCTTAGTTGGCCCTGTGGTCAGTATTTATAGAGACGTCCCCTTCCCCCGCTGGAAGTACATAACTCAATTCTTCGATAACCTACAGAAAATACATATACTTTGGCTACCTAGCCCTGGGCCATTTTTTTCGAACATTCCCAGAAAACCAGTTACATACGAAACAAAAGCTACTGTAAGGCTTTTACCGCTCCACTTATCAACCATGAATCCCAGGTATCAAGATACACAGCCAACTGCAGAAGCCTGTATGAAACCACTATTTACCCCAAAACGAAAGTACATGGCTAACAGAACACTTAGTGGATTGGGCCGAGCTTGTAACACTCGATCTGTCACTTCTGGAGCAGCCAAACGGCCTGGAGAAGCTGGCAAAAGAGTTAGAATATGCAGCCAATCACGTCGGTAGGGCAAAATCTATGTAACCAGTAGGCTCAGGGTGTTAACCAAGCTACAGGGTTCTTTTACGTCCAGTCCTTAGACATCTCTAAGGAAGAAGTGGACCGCCAGTTTGAAATTGCCCAAGACTTTTTTAGTCTACCCTTGGAGGAGCGACTTCAATATTTTGATCGCGAGAAGTACATGAGTGGTCAGAATATTGGATATCGCCCCATCACCTGGAGACCGTGAGTTATCCTTCCCTGTTTGAGCCTATGTGGCTGTCCATTCATCTCGTGACTAGACCGCTGGATGGAGTGTACGATAATACCCAGATCTACAGCATCCCCGCATTTGATGGACACCATATCCACCACCATCCAGATGTGGTTGCCCGGTGTCTGGAAGAGATTCAACAGTTTCAAGTGGTACGGACCTAAATATGAGAATTGAGATAAAAGGATTCTCAACTTACAAACTACACCAGAAATGCGACAAAATTATCCAACAGCTTCTTCAGATACTGGAACATGTCCTAGAGCTCCCGCCATTCGCGCTGCGCAAGAAGATCCGAGCCAATGCCTCTAGCGAGCAGCAACTGCGCTACATGCATTATACGGCGCGCAACCCGGAAGAAAATGAAAAAATGGGCCACATCTATGCAGGGGGACACACAGACCTGGGAGTCTTGACCCTGCTCTTCAGGCAACCTGTCGCAGGGTTGCAGATCCAAAACGCGGAGGGTGAATGGCGATGGGTGCAGCCAAGAGACGACGCATTGACCGTCAACATATGTGATGCCCTGTCGATGATTTCCTGTCAGCATCTGAAGTCTACCATTCATCGAGTGCACGCCCCGCCGGCCGACCAGCGCCATTTGGACCGCATTGGAGTTCTTTATTTTGGACGGTTTGTCGTACCACCCCGCAAAATATGACCGATGTCGGGTACTGACAACTCATAGATTCAGCAATGACGAGTATCTAGATCCATTGGCTGATAGTGGTGTCCTTCGGAGGGCGGGGAACCTACAGACTGAGCTGTCCAAAAATGGCATTCGCATGACTATGGGGGAGTATGCAGCAGCGCGTGGCGCTCAACATTCGCGTCGCAAACAGCCATTGGCTGTCGGTAAGGATGGCCGCTATGAGTGGGACCAAAAGGACCTGGCTGTAACATCAACCTTATCGGTGCAGTACTACAATTAAGTGCTCATGGATATGTCATTTGCAAGTCATTGTTCCATTATATTTACCCCTCACCGCAGCATAGCGCGGCATGCTACCCCTAATTGCTGGCATGGAAATTTATAGCTCGTATGCAAGAGACAAGATCAACTATGCACATTTCATTATACGTGGATCCGAGCCCAAGTATCCATGCGAGCATTCGCGTAGAAGAGACTACAGACCGGTCTAGTTGATTTCTGTGGTAACGACATGACCACTCTGCCCTATAAATTACAAAGGGGACTCTTTCTCTAGCTTTCTCTCTAAAGAACAAACGTGACACACTTCCCGGGAGCATTGTGTTTTCAATCTAACATTATGCCGATCCCACCCTCCAATAACTTAGCTCGTCAAGCCTCCCAGGGGAGGGTATGTACGGTATGTCTCTCACAGGAGGGCGTCCCGTAACCGGTAGCAGGATAACGATGCATGAAAAGTGCATCTCTAGCTCACGCGTGGTATGACTAGGCACTTGGAGTGAAATTCGTGCAGGAGGTCTCGATCGCAGAAATCGCCCAGGCAGCCGGCTATGACAGCCTTTTCATCGACCTCGAGCATTCGTCGTTTTCTCTCGACCGGACGGCCGATATTTGCTTGGCGGCAAATCTGGCAGGGGTATCACCTTTTGTTCGGGTTCCGCATGAATGCGGAAACGGATTTGTTCAACGGGTCCTAGATGGAGACGCGAAGGGTATCGTCGTTCCTCATGTGCGCAATGCGGGTACGAAGTCCCCTTCCCCCTCAATGCAACTCCAATCAATTGACAGATGGCGGTTTAGAGGACGTACACAGAGCAGTGGAGATGGTCAAGTATCCACCAACAGGAATTCGATCCATCAACCCCTCTTTACTGATGAAGAATGGGCGTAGCGTGGATAACAGCGAAGCGAGGGGGATACTCGCGGAACAGGACGCCGTATCATTTGTCATGATTGAGACGTTGGAAGCACTCGATAACCTCGATGAAATCGCTGCGGTTCCAGGGCTGGATGTGATGCTCATTGGTTCAATGGATATCACAATGGAGCTTGGAATCCTTGCTGCATGGGACCATCCATCGTATCAAAGCGCCCTGCTGGAGGTTTCCCAAGCTGCCAGTCGTCATGGAAAGTTGTGGGGTATCTCAGGCTTGTTCAGTCGGCCGGATATCTGGACCCACGCCATGCAGAATCTAGGCGCACGGTTCATTGTCGGTGCATTAGATCGAGGGCTGTTATCACGGGCAGCCACGGCGAATGTGACTGCACTGCAATCAGCAATGCTAGAGGGGGTTAAGCAGAGCTGTGGATGAATGGGCCATGATGGAGCGGGGATGAGACCTGAAAGGAGAAGGGGTCCGATCATGTAAACTTACTGGTCTCCTCAAATTATAGTATTTATTTGCTCGCCGTGTTACCCGTCGGTGATTACCGTTATACTCTTGCCCAACAACCCCACATCAAACAGTCACCCATACCTTTGAGAGTCAATTGATCAGCATTATGTCTACACGAAACAGGCAGGCCGAGTCCAAAGTCTTCCATCGCAGTGTCAACTCGCAGCAATTGGCCGTAGCTAGTGGTCGCGGATGTACGCTGGTGTTGGAAGATGGACGAGAAGTGTTGGATGGAGCCGCCGGCGCCGCAGTAGCCTGTCTTGGCCATGGCAATCGAAACGTGCAACAAGCCATCTTGAGTCAGATGGACAAGATCTCCTACATCCACGCACAGGTTTACACGTCGGGTCCGATCGAGGAGCTAGCGGCGCTCCTAGTCGAATCGACCGGGAATCTGATGAGTCGAGTGGTATTTACTTCGTCCGGTATAGTCTCCACCTGCGGTCTATTGCGGGGCGTGCATATCATCCCTGGCACGATTGGATAGGTGCTTAATATTACTCTCCAGGATCGGAGTCAATGGAAGTCGCTATGAAGCTGGCACGTCAATACCACCTGGAGAAAGACCCACCACAGCCACAGCGAGACCTATTTTTATCGCGCCAGCAGAGTTACCACGGCGCGACTCTAGGTACTTTGGCCTTATCGGGCCACGTCAACAGACGGGCCCGGTACGAGCCGCTAATGCTCAGCAATATGCGCAAGACGGCTGCTTGTAATCCATATCGAGGTCAGGGCGTGGATGAAAGCGACCGTGCGTATGTCGATAGGTTGGCATCTTATCTTGAAGAGGATATCAAGGCATGTGGACCTGACAGAATTTGCGCCTTCGTGGCCGAGACGATCTGTGGGGCGGTATGTTCCCTGTATATTTCATTCCACTCCGTACCGTTTCAATACCGTTTTACGATACTTCATACCATTTCGGAACCATGACACTGTACATTCCATGTACGGTACCTTTATGTGTATTGCTATGCGCTAACGTCGGTCTTCGATAGTCTCTGGGTTGTGTTCCCCCCGTGGCGGGATATCTTCAAGCTGTCCGTGCCATATGCGACAAATACGATATTCTCCTCATCCTTGATGAGATCATGTGCGGAGTCGGCCGTACCGGAACCATGCATGCTTGGGAGCAGGAAGGCGTGGTGCCAGATATCCAGGCAGTCGCAAAGGGTTTAGGAGGGGGATATGTGCCAATAGGAGCTGTGCTTCTAAATCACAAGGTGTTCGATACTATGGCAGCTGGTAGCGGGTATGTTCGGCGAACTCCTTTTACTGCCCTGGGCTAGCTAACCAGCCGTGGTGACACTAAGGGTACTCTCTCATGGACAGACTTACCAGTCCCATCTTCTGGCTTGTGCAGCCGCACTGGAAGTCCAAAGGTGTCTGCAGAAAGACAAGTTAGTGGATCGATGTCGCGATCTAGGTAATTATCTCCTCAGTCAACTGAAAGCTCAGTTGGGCGAGATGCCTTTTGTCGGCGATATCAGAGGCCGTGGGTTATTTGTAGGTGTTGAGTTTGTTGTTGATAAGAAGAGCAAAGAACCTTTCCCTTCAGCAAAGAATGTTGCTGGCCAAGTCCACGCGGCAGCATTGCGGCATGGTCTGGCAACCTATCCTGGCACGGGCACCGCCGACGGAGTACGTGGGGATCACATTCTTCTGGCACCGCCGTTCATCATCACAACTGATGACATAGACTCATTGGTACTTAGACTTGGGAAGGCAATTACGGATGTTACCAAGGAGTTCCATCTATGAACAAACTATCAATGAAGTGCTTATGGAATTCTGAGAATTGTAGACAAGCACCATGTTAGACTTGAATAACAGACTTGTCAGCCACAAGCAAGACTGGAAATGTGTTTCTAAGTCTAGTATAGGCGGCTCAGCACTGCAAACATAGCCAACATTAAGCATCAGAAAGAGTATCATAAGCCTGTTAACACAAAGAATCGACCAAACACTTATTATATCTAAGCCAGGTCTTTCATCGACGCATCGGCGATAGCCAATGCCACTTTATCCAATATCGATTCACGAAGTCCGGCGATGTTGATCCGACCTGTGAGGTAAACAATCCTTCAGCTATTGTGATGGCTGGTAGTATTTCGGAAACGACTGGGCTCACCGTTTGCCTGAAGAACCACGCCATGATGTGTCTTCATATAATCCACTTGCTGCGACGACAGAGGAAGAAGTCTTGAGCATGTGGTCAGATGCTGCACTTTCAAGAAATTCAACAGGCTATGTACATACGAAAAGAAGCCTCGCTCAGCTTCGAGCCCATCCCATTTTCTATCGCATGTGGACGCTTCTGTGAACTATGATATAGTCAGCTTATCGTTCGAATTTTGCTTCCGTCGGTACGTCTACATACCTTAGATTCCAAGTGTTGTAATATCCGCTGTCTCAGGGATGCGCGGTCCTTCCGCAGTCTGCGGGCCATCCATGCGACATCTTGATACCTGTTGTGAATGAGATATCAGCACATGAAGCGAAGGGACAGGGGCTTTATTTTCGGGGTCCATTAAACCCACCAGACGTCTCTCAGTGCATCGTCTGAGAGTATCAGACCTGCCAGTTGGGCTCCGTATGCAGGCGGATTTGAATACTCCCACCTTACGAGCTTTTCTGATTTATCAGCAATTGCTTGACGGACTGAGACAGAATTGAACACCCCCAGTAGTGAACCGACTCTCTCGGCTAATGGTCATCGGCTCTATGTCAGCCATCAATGTTAACGTGTAGTAGGCCATAACATACAGTATAGACCCATAGATTTAGAGAATGTTGTATTGAGCTAGCCGTGTCAGCAATGTTATTCCTCAAAATAATTAGAAGCAAATTTAAGCGTAACTTACTAAGAACTCCAACTTCTGGTCGGCAAAATAACGGATGGGCCAAGCATCAAGGTCAGGATCTCCTGACTCTGTCCCTTGATATGCCATATCTACCATAATCAGATAATGTTCCCTTATTGCGAGATATCGACGCACCAAAAAGCGTGAGAAGAGACTTTCTCTATTTCAATGGAAGCATGTCAATATCTGCGATACACGAGACAATCGTAGGACCTACCTTGGAATGGTATCCAATCTCCTTCCACTGCTCTTTAGTCAGTCCAATGCCTACCGGGTTATGGCCACATGGCTGCCAGAGAAAGATAGATCTATCTGGGGCGGCTTGGACGGTGCCAATGATCTGGTCCCAACACAGACTATGGGTGGTAATATCAAAATACTGGTATGATTTGATGTCGACGCCGGTATGTTTAAAAACATTGAAGTGGTTTCCTTATTTTCATTAACAAGCTGTCTTTTTTTTTTGGTATGTGGTTTGTGGTTTGTGGTTTGTGATTATTTCTCACCCCATGATGGTAAGCCGATATACAATGTACTTCCTGGTGATAATTCCGTTAGGAGCATAGCTGCCAGGTGCAGCCCTCCGGTGTTTGAGATCGTTTGGCATGCAAATGTCTATAAAGCCGGTGTTAGAGGAGTTCAACTGCCCTGGGCATAGATCGCTTTCCTGAGATCGAAGTTTTTCTCTAAATTCTCGTCCCAGGCATAGACAAGCCACCGCTTCATTGAAGGACGGTAAACCGAGACTAGGCAGATACTTTCATCACAAACGTTATTTTTCTCAGTAGCAAACACAAAAGTGCAGAATGCGTACCTCGTGTTTATACGGCATAGCATGCAAAAGCTCTTTTGCCTATCAGCCCATAACATTAGATTCCCGCGGGGAGCAAATTGAACAAGGGAAAACCAACCATGCGAACCGAACGGAACACATGGCAGAGTCCGTCCTGATCTCTGAAAGTGCCATCTGTTAGATGAATCATTGATTTATCGTCTATAGTGGTAGACATTTTGGGCTGAGACGAGTCTGTATGGCACTGGCATTGAGTGATATTATATGGTTCGCAGACCATTGGCAAGCAGGTAACCGTAATGATACGACTAATGGTACGACAGAGTACATGCAGAATGTGCGGGGCTTACATGGCTACTGTGTAGTCCCTCAATTTGGCTCTAGTGTTTCATACCGGTTATATTACTAGCGCTTGGTTGGTCAAGTGTATTTTACCGATCTTTACTGTTGTCGATCTATCTCTACTTAAGCTGGCTACTTTTTAAAAAGCCAATGGGTCCTGTCTCGAATTAATTATTGTGAGTTAGCCATGGATCCCAAGGAATATCAACCGGTCGAGCAAGTGGATGCCAATCCAGAAGCCGGCTTTGAACTAGAAGAGCAGGCTCCTTTCCTGTCGCCCTCCCAGGGATCTGGCAAGTTAACTAATGTGCCTGCTCGTTGGCCTTGGATCCTTTCGACTGCTGTACTATTTGTTATTGCTACAATTCTCCTCTTCTGGAATCAGCCACAATGTTCGTTTGGTAAAGAAAGCTACGAGGCCGGCTTTACTACTGATCTTGGTAACTCACCACCCACATCAAGAATCTGAGATACCGGCTAACCTGTCAGCGGCCGCATTCCCTGTAATCGAGCTTCATAAAGTTCAATTCACTGGTGGTTTGCATTGGGATGAGAACGGAACCTTAGTGCGCAACTCCCTGCCAAACGGCGAGGAATGGGTAGGGTCGCCTACTCCAGAGCTAGATGCCAGATGGGATCATGTTGTTGATGGTTTGTTTCTACTATTCGGTCCTTTTCTAAGTATATTTCTGACTGTCATAGCTGCGGGGATTGATGTGTCAGGCAAAGAAGCTGATATGGTCCGAGGTACTACACGGCAGCGCCCGACGGGAGAATATATAACAGGACTTGACGTTTTCCATCAGTTACATTGTTTGGTCAGTATATCCAAATACAGTTATCTAAGCAACTGCTTATTTAAGCGCAGAATAAACTTCGACAATCGCTCTACCCTGATTATTACCATGACCCGGATGGACCTTTGATCAAAAGCCTTCACATCGGTTAGCCACAACTTTCCTTTTGAAAATCATGAACCCTGGAACTAACACCATCAACCACCAGATCATTGTATCGACTATCTACGCCAGTCTATCATGTGTAGTGCTGATATGACTGCTGTGCGAGTAGTCTATTCACCTTCTGCAGACCGATGGAGCCCAGACTTCGAACGGCAACATACATGTCGCAACTTCCAAAAGCTGCTTGACTGGTCACTGGTGCGATTGAATCCAGATACAGACGAGTTTACGCGGTCTGGGAATGGGCACCATTCCAGTGGACATGGTCACTAAGACTTATAGATTGATACAGATATTAGGCTCCGACATATGAAATTTTTGTATCGTCAATCCCATCTAGTTTGAGTAAATATCATTCCTGGTCATCTCTAATTTATATTCCGGGGCAGTCTCGAGTACTAGATCTATAGATGCTTCATGGTCGATAGCGATTATTTCTTGTACTTGAAACTCTCGGAACGCCATATACGTCAATGAGCATAACGTTGAGATACCACTTATTTCCCTGCCAATGAGAAGAATGGGTCATTTCATAGAGATAAGGTTTATGTGGAGAGAAAATTTGTACAAAGTTCAACTCGGACCGCGCCGTCCGAGCGTTCACGGGTCGTACCTAGATTGACCCCCGCCCAGGCACCTGGCCACCCACATCTAACTGCGGGGCTTCACGTGCGCCGACCCCGCTTTAGTGGATTTATGCAAGTAGGTGGATGCTTTTTAAGCACAGTCCATGTGACAGTATGCAATGGGAACCTTTGCTGTGCTTTATTCAGTCTTGTTACTAGTCAGTACCTATTCGTGCCGTAATACAGTATCGTACGTAGTCAGAAAGACGCCCCTAGTGCGGTCCTTTTTCACTTGCATATAGGTCATAGCGGGGCCGTAATGGCTGGCTGAAGAAGAATGAGGGGAAACATCCATCTATGTGATGTAGTTACAGGTCATACTCGGGGAACTTTCCAATTCTGATTGTCTACCAGTTGCTCTGGTTCAGTACAACTGAACGCGGTGTAGTATGGGTCTGGACGATGAGAGATGACGGGCCGCTTGGAGCTGCTCATGCATCGAACTATTTTCCCGTGCCCAAAGGGACGTGGATGTTTTCTCGATCGACGTGGTGAATCTAAAAGTGTTGGCTCTTTGGAGGGCTCCCCTTTCACCCATTTGAAGTCGACAGCGTGCAGAGACAGATTGCCATCCGTTCCTAAATATCAACCTTTTGTCCAAGTCCCGACGTGCCCTAAAGGCTACACAGTAGATTATTCATTACACACCGGTAGGTGGGAACATATTTAGCACGTTCTGCTCGTAAAACTATTTAAGATGTTCAAGATCTCGAATGATTGCGTAGCTCTGGTTACCTTCGGGGAACTATCAATGTCCTAGACTAGGAGTCTCAATAGCTGTAGCTGCCAACTGAATGAATGATACTTATCAACTGGTCTTTTACTCTACTTTGTAGCTATTAAGAGGATAGCCCTATTGGCGATTGGACAGGGGGTGGTAAGCCTATCTTAATTCGCAATCAGCTCGCACGCAATTTATGGGTACCCCGCGCGTGATAACGCAACCTTGGGAGATACTTCGATTTCCCTTTAATGTCCATCTCTCCTTACAACAAACTATTTATATGGAATTTTTGGCTACCTTGCCCTTTTTTTCCACATCCTTCATATTTTGGATTTTGTCTTTTTTATCAGAATGGGTGCAGCCATTTCTAAGCCCGTGTCGCTCAACGAGAAGTCTTCTCCGGCTGAAAGAGTGCCAACCAAGACTGATATGACTGACCAACCATCCTGGGAATCATGTATGTCAAACTATAATGATTTATCCTTTTTTCCCCTGATATTTGTAGCTGACGGAATCCTAGCCCTACCGCCTTATCCGGCCCAGGAACGGGTCATACCTCTGACACTTCCTCGCATAAATGATTGGAACCATACTCTCCTAAGCGATCCAAAGGTTCGAACCAAGTTACACTATTATGAACATGAATAGACTCTATTTACTAACGACAGCCCACACCGGGCAAGCGAGATAGAACCGCCTGGCGATCTCAAGTTTCGCAGACCACTCTTTTGCAGACATCCTCATCAATCACAAGGCTCTTCAACACGATCAGCACATCTTTAACCTGACTGTACCGGTGGAAGGCACACCCATCACGAACCAGCGGTCCTCCGGACGCTGCTGGATCTTCGCTGCGACCAATATCTTCCGTCTGCCGCTGATCAAAGCCTACCAACTGAGGGACTTCGAGCTCAGTCAGGCATATCTTTTCTACTGGGACAAGATCGAGAAAGCGAATTGGTTCTTCGAGCAGATTATCGCTACCGCCCACGAGGATCTCTCTAGTCGATTGGTACAGAAACTATGCGAAGCTCCGGTCACTGATGGTGGCCAATGGGATATGGTAGTCAACCTGGTGCAAAAATACGGATTGGTTCCGCAAAATCTCTATCCGGATTCCTATCACGCGCAGAATAGTGCGAAGATGAACTGGCTCCTTACCACCAAGTTGCGAGACCAGGCTTTCGTCCTCCGCCAATTGGCAGCTACAGACTCGCACGCGTTAGCCGCTGTGAAGGAACAATTTCTGCAGGAAATCCACTCGCTGGTTACTCTCCTTTTGGGACCCCCACCAAGCCCCGACAAAAAGTTTGTCTGGCAATTCTCAGACGCTAATGGAACACCTCGTGATGTGCAATTGACCCCCATGGAATTCGCCCAGCAAGCCCTCCGACCTCGATCGATCTCTCGGGGTCATCCAACTGTCAGTACAGGGCGACTGTTCAGTCTGGTTAACGATCCGCGACACGAGTTCAACCGGTTGCTGACCATTGAAAGACTCGGAAATGTGGTAGAAGGGAGATCTATCACGTATATTAATGTAGAGATATATACACTCAAGACTGCAATCATCGCGATGCTCAGGGCTGGATATCCAGTCTTTTTTGGCTGTGACGTGGGCAAGTTCTACGATCGCGACCGTGGAGTCTTGGATACCGACCTCACCGATCTCGCGCTGGGATTCAATATCACGCTGAAAATGAGCAAGGCCCAGCGGGTTGCCAGTGGGGCCTCCTCAATGACCCACGCCATGGTCATCACGGGTGTGCATTTAGACGGCGACCGGCCGGTTCGATGGCGCGTGGAGAATTCTTGGGGCGAAGAGGCTGGGAAGAATGGGTGGTTTGTTATGACCGATCGATGGATGGATGAGTATACCTTCCAGGCCGTTGTTGACTTCAACTTTGTCTCGGCCGACGTACAAGCTATCCTGGAGCAAGATCCGAAGGTTTTGCCTCGGTGGGATCCTATGGGAGTGCTTGCTTAAGGGCAATAGCACCATTTCAAGTAATATGCAATCATTGATTTGGATAGAAATCACCATTTTGTTTATTCTACTTGCTTTTGTTTTATAGAGCCTGCTTGAATATCTCCCAATGTCACGGAACCCCATAGTAGATTACATATCTCCCTCTCTCCTGCATTTATACTTCATACAACATACGTCCCACAATATCATTACATTGTGCTTATGATCTCATCTACTTGCCTATAGACTGGAAGAAAGAGGTTTAATTTACATAGTAACACACCGCCGTCCTTTTCACTAGCGAGTATTGACAGGCTCAACAGAAGGCCTGAGATCCCCGATAGATTGCAGTGGTGATTGGCCGCCACTGAAGCTTTGTAGAGGGCATTTTGATAGGAGGGATTATCCCATGAAGTGAGGATTCAAACCTTCAGCGAGATACCCATCAACCCAATGAGCAAGATGTCCAGCCTGGGAACTGCGGCAATCTGGGAAACATTCTCCAGCGCTTTCAGAGTTTCAATCATAACAAATGATACTACATCCTGTTCTATGAGGATGCGTCTCGCCTCGTTATTTGTTTCGTTTCTCCTCAAACTATTACATAAAACACAAATCAATACAGACAGGACTACGGAGTAGTGGTAGAAGCTCTATACGAAAATAAAATAAAATGCCTTTAAACAAAGCTTGGACACCTCTTCCCTTGCTTGGTTATTGAGGTGGCCTAGGCGGGCTGCAAGCACTACAGCCTCCCCACCTAACTGCATATACAGGCTTGGGGTCGCTACTAAATGCGCACCGCATTAGCATTGCAGCCAGCCAGGCACAAGAACAGTGCTAAAAATAGGTTTTACATGTTGCAACCACTACTGCCCAAGCAAGAAAGAAAGATATCTCAGTCCATATTCGCTGTATGTACCTGCATCGTGACCCAAAGTTTAAAACAGCCATGATATACGAGCTTTGCGTGCGGGTCTATATAGTCACTCGGTCGAGGATAGTATTTTCGAGATTATTACCGTGATCTCCACCATCTGTAGACCAAAGCTGCGATACGCTTGGTAGATAACACCGTCATCTGAAACAGGTGACGACGTACTTGTGGCATGATCAACGCCCTGGAGACGCTTTTGATAGTCAATGTTTGGTTTAAAGGTCTATATACTCCACCGCTTATTCTGTAATCCACCATTCAAAATTACAGTCCATCATCCATGCTCATTCCCCATAAATTTCATATTTCTCTTTAGTTAAGAAATCCTTTCATGAATTTGCTCCTCGTGATGACGCGCAAAACGTTGACATCAATAAACCCATTACCTACAAGCCCAAACATGCCATTATTCAGGACCTAATTGATTTCATCAATCAGCGGCTCCCGATTATTAATAATGAAAACCTTAGGGAGGAAGATGTTCCAATCAACATCAATAGGTTAGCGTTGTTCAACTTGGGCATCGCAGCTGCAATTGCTCAGGGAGAAACAGAATTGGGGCTGAGTACATCACGGACCTGGATAGCTATCTCAAATTTGCCGACGAGATGATTGAGTGGACTCCTACTGTCAGCTCTAAGGGAGACGAGGTCCTTCGAAAGATCCTCGTATTCTACTGGCTCTTCAAACAGCAAGAACTCAGCGACCTTCAGACTTCAATTGCACCTGCCCTCACCGATACCGATTTGAGATGGCTTTCCTATTGGCTAGCTGCATATACACGGTGATTGGGAGAGTACATGTCCACATCCGAGTCCGTTAGAAATATTCGGAGTTTCTACACCAGTGACACGTATGGGCAAGGTCCCGGTGACGCAGATAAAGGCACCAAGTATGACAAGGGAGATCGGTACACGCAGTGGAAATCCCCCGATGGAGGTTGGAAATCATTCAATCAGTGGTTTTCACGAGAATTGGTTGATATCGATTATTCCCGCCCTATGGATGGAAAGGAGGATGACAAAGTCATTGTCCAGGGTGCTGATGCGAAGTTTCACGGCTACTGGGACATTAACAATGGCATTCATGAAATATCCGCCCAGTCTACTTTCAAAGTCAAGGGGGTCGATTGGTCCATTAAAGAGTTAATCCGCGCCATTGATGGGGTTAAAACATATGGCAACGGGAGCTTCATTCATACAACCCTAGCGGTGGCCGATTACCACCGTCTCCACGCCCCTGTGGAGGGAAAGGTGGTCCAAGCAACCATCACCCAAGATCATTTTTATCTTAAAATCGTTCAGTCCAAAACTGAGGATGGTAAAACTACAATCTACCCAAAGCGGGATATTGTGGTCAATCCTCAGGAACTACAGCGCCGATTCGACAACGTTACAAGACTTGAGGAGACAACCAATTCCAACAACCAAGAGGAGATCCTTTCACTCTGCCGGTCGAAAAATAATCTCGAAAATAATCAATCTAAGCTGCGAAATTCCACCGGTCCAAAACCAGACATCGGTATCACTCCACCTGTTTAAGCTGGTTACCAACGGTGTCAAACTCGTGGCCTCATCGTGATTGAAACTAGCTATGATAGCAAGGGTAACAAGAAATCCGTGGACCATGGCCTGGTTGCAGTTTTGCTCTTTGGAATGACCCACGTTTCTTCGGTCATCCTCACTGTGAAAGAAGGAGAATTCTTGGAGAAGGGACAAAATATTTCCTACTTCCAATTCGGCGGGTCTGATACGGTGACTGTCTTCCAGAAACGACCTACCTACCGGGATGGCCTTGAAGCTGGCAAGACCAAGTTGCACATTAGAGAAAGGATTGCCGAGTGGAAGTAAAAAGTGACATGTAAATATGATGTGGAAGTGGCTCTCCAAATGAAGCAATCTCTGGAGGTACTTGACAAGACCATTCTTTGCAGTCGATAGTCATACAGAACATAGTCACTTAAGAGGTGCGTTTGAAAAGTACGTAGCGGAGAGGAGTGGCATTGCCATATTACGAACCAATACAGTAGTTCTGACGGTCTTTAAATACTCTGTCCTACAAATATTTTCAACACCTCGCAGGAACCAACCTTTCTCCTAATCAAACAGTCAAACCGGGCTTCCACCACTGTACAGTAGACCTTGGGATCGTTTCCTATTATAGCCTCAAAATTGACTATAACTACAAACATGGTCGACTATATATCTTATAGTAGTTATATATCCGAAAGGATCACCTCAGCTATCACCGGCGACTTTCCTGGGAGATCCCAAGGACGCTTGTTAGCATAATAGTATTATATAATATTAGTAGTATAGTAAGGCGTACATCATGGTATATATTATGGTGTGAAAAGAACCTACATATAGTTTACCGGTACTATTTAAGTGATCACTAGTAGACCTCTGCATAGCCCATAAAGCCCATAGCCCAACCCAACCCAACCCACTAATGGGTTGGGCTTTGGGCCCACCCTTCGAGCCCATTGGCCGGCTCTGGGCCCATCCACCGAGCCCATAGGGCCCATAATGGGCCCTTATTATTAACCAAACAATACAAACATGCCAATTTATAGCAGCTGTATAATTAATGCACTTTTTTCCTATTCTTTAGGGGTATTAGAATTACCGTTCAAGCCATTTATAAAGCTATACATAAATCACTTATAAATTAATTAATAGGACTGATTGATTTGATTTTATTTATAAGATATTAAGTAATAGATACTAGGAGGCCGAAAAATAAGAATCAAAAAGCTTTACTTTTTTATAAGAGGTACTTATTTTTATTAGGGGTTTACATAGTAAGTAGAGGTACCGTAAGTATTACTACAATTGGCCATAGAAAGTGGTATCAATCCTCTATAGATAATATATATCTCTTTATACTAATACTTAGTAATTCCTTCTAGGTACGAATTTATTGTCAAATTGAATCTTTTTGGGGTTGTTTTATATGAAATTTTGTATGAAAGTCATCATAATGCTAAAATCAGTATAAAATCCACTTAATTTCGACTTCTTACTATGATAATATAGTAATACTGAAGATATAGGTTGGTACCTGCGTAAAATATAGTCATTAATCATCTACTTTATGTATGCCAAGACTATATTTGTACACAGAAATGGGCTTTTGATGGGCTTTGATGGGCCCCCATTAATGGGCTGTGGGTTGGGCTTTGGGCCGAGGGGTCTGGGCCCATTGATGGGCTATGCAGAGGTCTAATCACTAGATAAATGACATATGGTAAAATATATTATCATTCACTACTATTTGCCATATATAGTGAAGTCATATTATGAAATTATAAGTTATTATTTTATCTTGTAATTTGCCTCCTAACTAGCTCCGGTGTATTAATATTAATAGTTACTAGATAAGAAAGAATGTTAGCGAAGGTCGAGTTAATATTAATTAGGTTCTAACTATAGCTATACTAGTAGATAGCCTTATGAAAGCGCTTCCGAAATAGAAGTAGTATCTCTTTAGAGAGCTAATTAGAATAAGAGAGATTAGTTATCTAATCCGAGAAATAGAGGTTATTTAAAGAGAGTATAGAAATAAAGGAATAAAAGCCGTTACAAGGCTTAAAATTGAAGGAAGTGATAGCTCTTGAAGCAAGGAAAATATAGGCTTTAAGAATTAGGGGGTATGTTGAATACTAGGTCCGAATATATGGTAGAAACTAGGTATTATACCCGGAATATCATATGACATTGGTACTAGGCATACCATACAAAAATGTATATTAGAGTTAGTCATCGAGGTCCGCACAGATTGTAGAAATAGCGGATTTTGTCTTTTTAGTTAGATTGTCAACATTGATCATCTATACCATACATTGTTCGTACACCAGCTTTCTGTCAATATATACCAAAGATTCTCTTCCAAACCAGTGGCTTCTCACCTCTTCGTTTCCTCCATTTATTCGTTGAATTGAGAATATTGGGACAGCCTTTCAGAAAGAACCCCCACTTCCTAGCAAAGTCCTCCGTGACCTCCCAATTCTCCGGACAAGACGGTAGTGCCCAGACGAGTAACCTAGCATTACTACTTCGGGTGTCCCAAAACGCCGTAAGGTCATGACACAATTCATCATCGTCAAGATTATCTCCGGCTCGAATAAGGTTGTCACGAAACTCAGGAAATGGAAAGATATCAAGCCATGGATGATGTGGTGTGGATCGTTGTAGATTTGTCGGACGTAGGGTTGAGGGAATCCTGTCCTCAGAAAACTGAGGACCTTGCATACTGAATATTGAAATGGAATTGTCTTGACAAAGCCACTCCGCGGTCATTCCTAAGGCCATGACATTATCGTAGGCCGCTCGAAGGACATTAAGTCTGCTCAGACTGATCAAAAGATCCGTCTTGGGCGAAGCGCCGAAATAACTATCCAAGGCTCTTTTCTCGAACTCGTTCATAAGAGCGTGTAAGTTCGCCGGAGCAAAAGTGCACTGCGAGTGCTGTGCCTCACATAATGTGCATAAAATTGGGTTTGGCAGTGGATTCGCCTCGCCCCTCACTAGTGGAAGGGTAGAAGCATCTTCAGACTCCTGGGCTTCATTCGTTTCCTTTCTACTTCGAGCACGTGCCTCGTGACGCGCTCCTAAATTCAGAAGGGCCCATGTTAGCTACTGCCGATATTAATTATGTCATATGTGGGCGAAAATCTTACGGAAAGCTCTCTGATTAAGACGGTTTTGAATTCTCCGCCGTAACGCTGAATGAGTAACCCCGGCTAAATCGTCTTCAGGTGAAAGAGCTGCTGACTGCGGCGGCATGCGCCGCAAGCTTGTTGGGGTGCTGAAGACTGGGGTTGATGACATCGAGATTTTCATATAATGGGGATACAAGAAGGAGATTAGCCCCGTTGGTAGAGGGACGGTCAAGTGTAAGGGCCAGATTAGTAACGAAGCCGGTTTTCAATCTGCTTACAACTGGATGTTCATTGGCCAGACAGCCCCGCCGATCAATCTGCTTACAACTGGATGGTCATTGGCCAGACAGCCCCGCCGATCAATTTGCTTACATATCGTTTATAATTGGCTCCCGCTCCAGCCAGTGGGCCCACCCAGGGCCCACCCAGAATTAGCCGAATTATGCCCGATTCGATGCTGAACCTGTGACTGGCCGTGGAAAACCCCACCCTTTGAATATGTTGTACACAACATTGTATTGTAAGCTTAGGCCCTTGCTAATTATCATTGAATGATATGACAAGTAATGAAGATAATTGACGTGAGGAAATGGAGATGTGGAAGGGAAGAAGAGAGAGCAGAGAGGTCTCAATTATGAACTAAAATGTGGATGGCTTCAAAGATACATACAATATTTCTAATATTTTTGCATGTGACGCATTGATATTTGAGTTCACTTGGAGTAAGAAACACCATGCTTCTCCAAGTCACTAAGAAAGAGCCTGGAGCAAGGTATCGCCAATTACAGCGGCGCTTGGTGGATTTTGACCCGTGACCAACTTCCCGCCTTCACCGCTGGCGACCACCTTCACGCCGAATAAATGATCAGCGCTCTCATACTTTCCTCCACGGTTACGAATTTCGGACTCCAAAAGGAATGGCATGTCTTTGGTGAACTGCATAGCTTCTTCCTCTGCGTCGGAAAGGCCAGTAATCGCCTGGCCGGAAACCAGATATGTTCCATTGGATAGCTTGACATTCACAAAAGCAGCTGGGCCATGGCACACGGCTGACACAACTTTGCTTGACTCGTAGAACTCGCGAATCAAACACTGTGAAACGTAGTCATTTGCAAGGTCAAACATTGCTATGATTCGTATGCCGCGGTTAGTTTCGTTTAGAGTATTCTAAGGGATGCAGACTCACGGCCATGTCCACCAACGTAAAAGATTCCGGAAAACTCAGCAGATCTTCCGAGCAACGAAGATAGCTTCACCGTTTCTTTCCAGACATTCTGATTTTCCTTCAAAAATTCCTGACACTCGGCGTCATCTTTAGTTGCTTCAACGGAGTAAGGATCCAAAGGTGCTTCCCCACCAGCTGGAGAGGCAACGACGATATTGAAATGGGGTGCCAGTTTGTTGTAAGGATGGACAAGCTCTGGCAGATACCAGCCAGTAGGGGTCCCTCGACTGGGCAAAATTGCTTGAGACGAGAGGACAAAGACGAAGCTAGGTTTTTTAGGCATATTGGTAAGGACTGCGAAAGTTGGGAAGATGTTTTGGTCGAGACGGCAGCGCACTAGAGCAATAGCAAGACAATCGACTTTACTAGCAGCTTTTCGCGGGTGCTAGCACGTGTCTTTAATAGTTTGGAGGTCAGATTCCCGAAATAGTTAGGAACTACGCAAATTCCTTTTTTTTTTAAAAAAAAAAAAGAGGGGAGGTGTTAGGGCGGTTCCGAAACCATCTAAAGTCGAGAATTCCGACGGGTGATAAATCCGTTATCATCCGTTACTAATGCCGAATCTATTCAAAGGGAACAAATCCGAGTAAAATGGAGTCCAGCTTTGCACGATCTTGCTTACATGCTTATGTTTACTCGTGGATCTATTCGGCCTTAAAACCTTAAGTCCCTAAAGCCCGTCAACCCACGCGTAGGAAAAGACGGTCGAATCGTCTGCAATCATCGAAGTTACCGTCATTTGAAGGAAGTTTCTAGCAAAACAGGCATCCGGTTGGGAATGATGGTATATAAGTAGGGCCTTCTCAAGCTAGGTCCGAAATACATATCATGTACCAAGAGTAAAATCTTCTTCATTGTCCGCCTCACCTTTAATTAATCTTTCATACATATCTCTTGACAATTGTTTCGCATCATGACTTTCACTATCACTGTCCTCTTCCCAAACGAGCCTGATGCCAAGTACAACAGAGACTACTATGTGTCGCACCATATGCCTCTGATCAAAGAACGTTGGGCGAAGTACGGTGTGCAGGACTGGTCTGTAACCGATTTCGGCCCCGGTGCCGATGGGGCCCAGCCGCTTTACACGTTTGGAAGCGTTGTCTGGTGGGAAAGCAAGGAAGGAGTTGAAAAAGCTTTCGCAAGCTCCGAAGTGGCTGAAATCATGAGTGATGTTCCGAATTTCAGCAACAAGCAGCCGATATTTTTGTTCGGCTCGCAAGTCGACACGACCAATTGAATGGCTTGAAGAAGAAACCTACCCCTACGATCTTATACTAGGTATGTGTATAGCCATATTGACCTTTGGCCAATGCTCTTTTCTACTGTGCCAATTGTCAATGAACGTATTTCTAATGTGAGGTATAGGGATATATCAGCTGTCTCGTGCGATCCAGGCTATGTCTATCCAGAGAATGCAGCAAGGTCTTTTATTTTGGGTTTGCTTGTTCGGAAGGGAGTTTATATGGACTACCAATTTATCTGTTGGTGTAATGTGACAAAAGTGTATCATAAGTCCTTCCTCGTCATCTGATATATGGAACGAGCCCTAGATAGATCTTCGCAAATTCAATGACCAAATTTTAAGATTCAATCTATATTTTCTTCGTTAGCGACTAGTGTATTGCCACGCCTTCTGTCTTGATGCTTTGCGGTCCGATAGTACCTTCTCAATGGAAACTGGCATGTTCCATTCAGGTCTAGAGCAAACATAGATGCGAGTATTGTGCAGGGATTTTCGTTTTATTATGATATGTAAGTGAGCTATCTGTTATGTGGTAACTGAGATGTTTGTTATGCTAAGCCGTGAGTGTTGAGGCGTATTGATATGGGGAGATAAGTATTGTGGTGGACCATCACTCCTGTGGTGAATGGTCGGGTGGTGAAGGGAGTGGTGGTCAAAGTCGCACGGAGGCAGCGCGGTTTTCTTGCCATCTCACCCATAGATGTTTCAATCTTTCAATTCCGCGAGCCACCTTTGTGCCTAGCTAGCTGGTCGCTCGGTGAGGCTGTCATATAACCTCCAGCTCGATCTAGATGATTGAATTCAAACATTCATAGTCACGGAATACGCTAGTAAATAATTTAGTTACTATACCCTCGATATTTTAATGAAAAACCGATATTCTCCCTCTATCTATACCTTATTTAGTAATGTTATTCTATACTATCTTGAAAGGACTTAGATTACGACTTATATCATTATATATATAAGCGATAAAGTCCCTATAGGATTAGGCGTTCTACTAATAATAACCTATACTATTATTTATCTACCCAGAAAAGAATCTGACGTACTAAGACTGAGACAATTCAATAATAGAGCTTTATCATAAGACTAAAAAGGTAGTATCAGCATATGTTTACCGGGGTATAGCAAGGGAGGGAGGCCCAAAACCTCATATTTTATCATTTTCGAGTCTCCCTCAGGTGTAAGCCATGGAATACGCCCGGACGATGTACTGCAAAAGTGATCAGCTGAGTCTTCGCAACCTTGGAAAGGGAGCAGTCATATACATGCAAGCCATGCCCAAGATTCCGACTACGGCCATCTTCGTTTGCATCTTCTTTTGAAGTTTGTCCACGACAAAGATAGGTAAGTTACCCACAGTAAAGTCGCACATTGCGGCAAAAGCACTGTAAACGTATGTCATGGCGATAATAATTTCCATGGTGATGCAAGACCTTGATGCAAGAGCCTTCCCCTTCAATGTTCCGAACGTGATGGCCATTCGGGTCCAGAAGTAGGATAATGGTTTTAATTGCAAACGATTAACCATACCAAATCATGAGGTTGCAAGAGCTCTTCATTTTCTCGCGAGGCTCATCGCAAAATAGAAGGGCAGCCTCTCCCACGGAAGAACCATCCCTTCAATCCCCAGCCGCCCAGAATCGTCCAGCCCTACAAGAGCGTCATAAACCAAGGATTTTCCCCCATCAAGCCACAGAGAGACCCTTGTTATCAGAAGCGCAGCTTTCTGGCGGAGCAGCTCCGTCACTTGTATGCCACCAGCAGAATGAGCTCTATTTTTGGGCTTCTGCCCGAAGTCGGCTCCCAGACGGGGACGAACAACAATTTATAAATTCGTGCCATCAAATGAGATCGGAACTAGTTGATATCTATTAGCAATATTGAATGAAAAGGGATTTCGGTCACAAAGCAAGTTATTTTGGCTATCAAAAAGAGCCCGCACTCAATATATGACGATCTCAAGCAATGGTCCATAGCGATGGAACCACTGGTCCAATAGCTGTCAGTCTCTACCCAGAAAGGAATTGGCGAAGCAGAGTACAGCTACCTCTTACTGAACATTTTTTATCACATTACCTGGGTAGCATAATTCCATGGAAGTGCTCACGCAGACAAAAAGACAGCATTGAGATCATATCCTTTCTCAATGCTCTACCGTACTCTTGCCTCCCGCTCCTTTAAAAGTTGCACCAAGACTCTCTTGGCTTTCGTGTACCCATTGAACCTCTTTGCTAATCCGAAAAGCTTCATTAGATAGTAATCGGGCCTACTATACATCGGAACCCGAAACTTTTATAATCTTAGTGCTCTACTTAGAAGTTTCGAGGTTAGAGTGCCGGCTAGAAGAACTTCAAGTGTCTGTCATTCTATGAACCAAAAATGTTGACTATTCACTGAATGACAAAGGGCGGTGGATTAATCGCTATAGAATACATAGCACAAACCCCCACACGATCAAGCGTTAGCCCCAACTTCAAGCCGCCATGAAGAACTCCCAGGTCGCATCCGGAGCCAGAGAGCTGCCAACTCCCAGGGGTGCACCGACATGTCCTCCGTCATAAGCTATGAACGAAACTGGCTTGGAGCATCCGGGGAAGTCAGCTCGAACGAAGCCGCCACTGCCAGATGCAGGCTTGCCGATGTTTGTTGGCTGGCACTGGTTATTCTCAACAAACTTATTCGCCAGAGTCACACCCCCATCAAATGGCAGAACTTGATCATTGATGCCATGAATACCCAAGTAAGCGATGGGGTCGTGGCCGCCCTCACATCCACTAATCAAGCCACCGCTCAACACACTTACGGCCTTGAACTCCTTGGCCCGCGAACAAGCAAGCGAGTAACTCATCCCACCGCCCCAACTGAAGCCCGTCGCGAAGCGAGAGCTCGGATCCACACAGAGGTCACCCTCGACCTGCTTGATGATAGCGTCGATAAGGGCAACATCTTCGCCATTGGTGTTGGCCCAGCCAGCATTCTTGCCATTGGGAGATACCAGGATGGCACTTCCCTTTGCTCGGCTTTCGAGACCGTACCAGGGTTGAATGCTGTCACCGTTGGCAACAGAGTACATGTTTCCGCCTCGCCAATGGAGGGTGAAGACAAGGTGATGTGGCTTGTTTGGGTCGTAGTTGTCGGGGATTTTCAGGATGTACTCGCGGCCATTGATGTTGTGGACTCCGTTGCTGAGAGTAGGTTGTTTGCCGCAGCCCGAGGATGCAGCGGCATCGGCTGATGATAGGAGCCCAAGGGCTAGAAGAGCAGGGAAGATCTTCATTATCAAGTATAGAAAGGACGATGTATCAGAGGCAAGGGAAGTGTAAGATTGGGAGGGTGCCTCAATAGTCCGGATTTATCGAGGATGGGTGATAGTGAGGTAGGTTTGTGGCCATCTCTAGGGCTTTATATCTATCTTGGAGTTGGATGATTAAGCTGCTAACACGACTTCAGGATCGTCGAATGTTGAGCCCTTCCACGGCCCATGTGTCATTCGATACGGAGACAGCACCGTTTCGACCCCATCAAGGGGAATAGGGCGTAGCGACCGGGCATCATCGTCACATATTGAAGATCTATGCAGTGAAGGGGATGCCAAACTGCGGAATCTGTTCATCCTGTTTCATCAATCGGAGAATTGCCGAAATAGGACGTAGGTAGGATTCAGGGTCCAAATCCCGACGCCACTGCCCCGCTTGATGTGAGGGAATAATCATTCCTAATTGGAGCAGACCGACCAAGTATGGAGCTAAACGTTTTGGATAAACAGCCCTAGGCAAGCCTCCTCGGACCCTTTTTTTCTATAAAAAAAAATCCACGCTCCTTATTAGGCTAAATTCTGGAACATTTTGTAACAGATTTAGTGACTAGAAGTCTAGCTGACCGTGCCAAGACCTGAGCCAAGACTTCTTTATCTCATTCGCCAATAATGTCGCTTCCTGCCTCGCGAAATAAAGTTATATATTGGTATGCCAAGCTTCCGTCGGTATGTGGAATCAAGGTTTCTACCGAAATTCATGTCTCTTTGGGACCTCAGGCTCTCGGACCCTCACCGAGTAACTAGGTGCGCCTAGTGGTTTGTTCCATACTAGGTCATATTCAGATTTTAACCAGGCATTGTTGCAAGGCCTCTCTGTTAGAGTCTACAGGTTAGGTGGGATCATGAAGCCTCACAATATAATATATTATAGTGGTGTGTGTTGTGTCGTACGGATAGAAGTAGGAGGAAAGAGAGAGCTAGTCTACTACTGTGGAACATATGACTCCTGAGAGTTCAAACACTCTCTGTCTTAGCAAAACCATGCCAAGGCTTACTAGCTAGCCTTCACGGAGGTAGGTTGTGTTGTAGAAAAGGCCATTCCAGATGCCAGGGCTCAGCAGATGGCCTTCACCAAAGCAACTTTAAGCCATGTTTCAGTTATCACTGGTCTCATCTATAAAACGCCTTTGTCATTCCTGACTACAAGAGACTAAGCGGCCTAGCTCCATCGTTTTGTTTCAGAGGAATATAGAATGCCTCGGCATGAAGGGTGGGTGATATAAAATACTAATAGGGTAGAAAGTATATAAGGACAACATAACTCTCTCACTGATGACTCCAATACATTCCTCGTGAGCAGCTTCTTCCGTTCGTTCCTATCTCAGTATATTTGCTTTCTTTGGGCTGGTCCCTCCATTCGTTCTTTACAAAACCCAAACAATTCTTTGATTCATTTCAATATGAAATTCTCCATTGCGGCTCTCGCAGCAATTGCGCCTATGGTCTCAGCCCATTATTTCTTCGACTCCCTCGTTATTGACGGCAAGGAATCCACCGAGTATGTCCGGTCCAATACCCGACCCGAGAAGTACAACCCAACCAAGTGGATCAACACCCGCGACGATATGACCCCTGATATGCCTGACTTCCGCTGCAATAAGGGCGCCTTCACCTTCGCTGGTCAAACCAGTACTGCTGAGGTTAAGGCCGGATCCAAGGTTGCCATGAAGCTTGGCGTTGCTGCTACAATGAAGCACCCTGGTCCTGCCCTCGTGTATATGTCTAAGGCTCCTACCACTGCCAAGGAATACGAGGGCGATGGCGAGTGGTTCAAGATCTACCAAGAGAGTGTCTGCGACAAGAACAAGGACTTTACCAAGGAAGCCTGGTGTACTTGGGACAAGGATCGTATTGAGTTCACCATTCCTCCGAATTTGCCTGATGGAGAGTATCTGATTCGGCCGGAGCACATTGGTATGTCTCTTATATCATTGGTATAAGCAAAGGATACTAATTCCCATAACAGGTGTTCACGGTGCCGCGGGTGGCGAAGCCGAATTTTACTACGGGTAAGCGAAGATTTCCTAAGCCTCCTCTTATTCTTTTTTTTTTAGCAAATGCTAAGATAATCTTTAGTTGTGCTCAAGTCAAAATTGTCGGTGGTGGCAATGGAACCCCCGGACCTACGGTCAAATTCCCCGGTGCTTACAAGAAAGACGACCCTTCGTTTAACTTTAGCATCTGGAATGGCTACAAGGAGTACCCTATGCCTGGCCCGGAAGTCTGGACTGGCGAGTCGGGCTCCGGCTCAACTTCCAAGGTAGCTACTAGCAACAGTTCGGCTGCTGCTACTACCTCCACTAAGCAAGCCGAGGACACCGACGCCTTCACTCGTTGCGCACGCTCGTGCTTCCAGTACCTCTAAGGACTAGGCGCATTCCGGATCTATTGTTGATTTGCCGGGGTTTGGGGGATTTTGATATTTGTCGATGGGTCGAGCCTCATGCTTCAGCCTAGTATTCGACATATATATTTCTTTCCCTCCTGTATCTGTACATCATACATCTACACAACACAATACACAATACATCACATTGTGCTTTCATAACCTCATCTACTAGGTCGTAGTAGGTTGCCTAGGAATAGCCTTTCTTTTACCGGTTTAAGCTTTGCCTACTAGTATGGATTATCGATATCCTGTCTCGGCCCCGGTTCTGATAAGTGATTTATGATACCCTATATTAGGGACTATAGTCCGCTCAAAAATACCTTGAATCGGCTTCTGATCAAAGAATGACCTTGTAGGAGTACCAGGATGGATCATTGGAGGCCAGGAAAATTGCTATCGAAGAGGGCATTATTGAAACGCTGGATTCTTATAATTTGGATTTCCTTGTTCTTCCCACTTGGACGGACATGAGCATCTATGCCCTATGTGCCCGTAAGTCTCTTTCTTTACCGTTGGAGCATCATCCCAAGTACCCTTGTTTGCAAGAAAACTGAGCTTTACTCAGATGGCTCTACCCGGGTACGTAAACCCTGGATCGCTACTTTGAATAGATCATGATTCTCCTCTGCTCTCTCCCCGCCTTAGAAGTAGCCAGTCCTCCAACAGTGGGAACAAATGCCTGGAATGCGCTCAAGAGTCTTAGTTGCACCGTTGTACCGTATATTGGGATCAAGGACACGAGATGATTATTGAACGGGACGTTTTCATGTAGTAAAATGTTGTTTGAGGGGGATAGTAGTAGGGAGCTTTGTTTGGAATAGTACTTCGAGAACTATTTCTGTTACAATCATAGGATGAATTATAAATTATTCCTATCATATGCCTTCGTCTGATCTCATATCTCCTATGCATCTTTGTATAGTGTATCAAACTCCAGCACAAGCTTAAACCCTACGATACCGAATTGTCCCACCAGAAACTGCGGTTTCGATTTCTCCCATTTTCAATCATTGGGTGTTTGCTCCAAATGCACCAACCTTGGAATATCACCAATTTGTCATCATTTTCTGTCGCCAACTCCTCATGCCCATCGCTCTATCCTCCAGTCAAATCATACTCTGCCAAATGGAATTCACGTCCAGGTTGGAGGTGGCAGCAGTGATCACGGTATTAATCCTATCACTGCAGGTAAAGCTGATAAGGAGGTTCTTTCAATGTCGGAAGAACTTGGCTCAAGCTCCTTTGTCAACTTCACGGCGATCTCCATTGCCAATATTTCGAAGCTAAATCAGGCTTCAGCTATTCAGTGTTTCATTCATGGTCGTCCGGTCGAGCGATGCCGCCGCCTATGCCGACCATGAGCCCAACACTGATGGATGTCAAAGAGGCAAGCATTCTCGAGGCTGTGGTCATGCCGCTGGGCATCCGGCTCCCATGACAAAACCGTGCGCCTCTGGGATACAGCGACATACGCGCTACAATAGACGCTCGTGGGCCCTTTCGACTAGGTTTTTTCGGTGGGCTTCTCACCCGACGGCGTGCTACTAGCGTCCGGTACCAGTGATACTACCGTGCGTCTCTGGGACACGGCGACAGGCGCTCTGCAGCAGACTCTTAGTGTAACACTAGAAGTGGCATTATGGGAAACTCAAATGGTTCGGATCCCAACTTTTTGACAATCACTCAAGCATGAGGGTGAGCTCGAGGGTATTCAAGTCCGCATAGTAGATGCCTAGAGGAGATTACAAGGTCTGGAAGATGGCAAATGAAATTGCAACATAGATTCAGCTCAATATCCTACATGTGTATTGAAGGGCAGAAATTACTTGCATATGAAGTCAAGTGTGAATGAGAATCCACTCCCACCTACTCCTCTTCAATCTCTCCTTCCTCGCTGCCAGAGTGAATGGCCTTCTCGTCCTTCTTCGCATCCTCAGTTTCTTCTTCCGGAATAGCAGAGCGTTCCCGCCGGGGGACTCTGGGGCCCTTGCTGCGCTCTCGCTCGCGGCTATCACGTCGGTACCGCTTGGCAGACCGGCTAGCCACACTCTCGGTATCACTGTCACGTCGACGTCGGCGGTCACCACTAGCCACACTGCGAGTGTCGACACCACCAGTACCACCACCATAATCAAGCTCATCACGACCTCCGCGGGGATCACCACGAGTGCGGTACAGGCGCTCGCGTTCGTCTTCACGTCGGTCTGGGTCTCTAGTACGGGGACGGTCAAAGTCGCGGTCCCGGCTGCGATAACGGTCACGGTCTCCACGCTCATCACGACGGTCACGGGATGGGGAAATACCGCTGACCTTGCGGTAAGTTCGTTCGCGGTCGGCCTGTGCCTTGCGACGGTCTGCTTCGTATGCATCCATTTCCGGAGTGCGGTTGGACTGGCCGCTGGGTCCACGTCGTTCTCCTCGTCCACTGCGGTATTCGCGGTCACCACGGTCGTAATCCCGTCGACTTCCACGACTTTGAGAGTGGGCTTCGCGATCTCTCTCTGCATCCTCATCTCTTTCTTTCAAGCGGCGAATTGCCTTTTCAAAGGCAGACTCCCGAAGTTCATCGGACTCAAGTGCCTTGTATTCTTCGTATTTCTCAAGGCGAGGTTGAACTTCAGCCCAGGTATCGGTGACCCGGACAGGGGGCTCCAGGCGTTTGATACGAGAGCGCAGTGCGTCTACGGCGCGGCGCTGTTGACGATCGGCGGCGTGCTTCTCATCCTCTGTGCGTCTGATTGCCTTTTCTTGGATACGCTGGAAGATGAGGTTGAGGATCTCAGGATCGATCTTAGAGGTGCGGCGGTCGGCAGACATGATAGAATTGAATTCATCAAATGTCGTTTCGGTCGTAACTTCATATCGTTTGTCCTGGAATCAGTTAGTATATAGTCAATGATTCGATTCAATGCGAGAGAACTTACATCCAGAACGTCGAGAACGTCGTTCCGAGGTCCACGCAAAGCACGCTCTTCTTCTTCCACCATATCCCAGAACAAATCAAGTGGGGTCGAACCAGGCTGGCCCAGGATGCCATGGTATCTGGGGTCATCCTTAATGAGCGGGCAGATATTCATCCACTTGGCGCCCGCCTTTATCTTACCCTGAGCTCTGAGCTCCTTGAGGAGGGCCACAAACTGCTCTCGGTTCTTACGCTCTTTTCTGGCTCTGGCTGCCTTGTGCTGCTGGCGAGCATCGTTGAAAGCGCGCTCCAGGGACTTGATATGATTTTCGAAGGCAGTCAGAATGTCGGACTTGCTCAGAGATTTGAACTTGTCATCACCTTGGAACTTGCTATCAGACTGAATGATAGCATGAGCCTCGGACCAGCGCGTGTATGGTTCTAGGTTAAGTGAGCCCAAAATGGTCATCAGCTCATCCATAGCGGCCTTGTGCGTGACAGACTCTTGCTCGAGATGAGCCTTCTTGAGTTCAAGGATGTACTCTTCAAAAAGCTGACGTCTCTCATCTTCCTCGTTGGTAGACCTGAATGTGGTCTCCCCCTCAATAATCGGGCGAATCGTCTTCCAGCGGCTATAGTATTTGATTTCAGGGTGCCGCTTCAGCATAGTGTTGAAATCTGCACGAAGCTTGGCGAATCGTTCTTTCGCCCGATCCTTTTCCTGCATACGAACCTCGACCACGTATTTCTCGAATGCTGCCTTGCGGTCTCGCGGATCCTTGAGAGCTCGGTATTGCGGGTCCTTGATCGTAGCGCGCATTGTATCCTCCCAAGTCCAATCGGGCTGCACGCTGTGGCGTTTGAGGAGCTTCATGAAGGCGCTCTCGGCCTCCTCAAGAGAATGATAGTCGGGATCCATCTGTGATTTGTATTCTGGGGCAGCAACCATTCCGTTTGTTTCATATGAGCCGTATCCACCGCGTCGGTCGCCGTATCCTCGATCACCGCGGTCGCCTCGGTCAAAGTCTTCACGGTCACGTTGCTGGGGTTGCGAGAAGGAGGTTCCACCGGCCACAAAGGAAGGGGCACTATGATGGGATTAGAATTGAGGGAAGTTAGTTCAGGAAGGAACTTACGCGGGGGGTGCCTGCGGCGCGGGCGCCTGTGCAAGCGCATCTTTGTAAACTGCAGGCATCTCCCATGTGCTCTGCTTGGTTTCTGCGTGGTACCAGTACTTGCGCCCAGCATCGGTGGTGTGTTCCTTCCATGGCTGGTTTGCGAGAGCAAGCTACAAACAGGTCAGTTAAGCTCATAAGATTTTGCGGTCAAATACAAACCTCAACCGGAGACATCAACTCTTGAGGCTTGGTCCATTGCGTGGCTTTCGTTTGAACATTGTAATAATAAACACGCCCTTCAGCATTTTGCGCCTGCTGCCATATGGCAGAGCTTGGGTTAATGCTGGGATCCATGGTGAAGGGTGTTGAAGATACTAAGAGAAAGAAGTGAAAACGGAGCTTCATGAATGATCTCCGCGCTTTCTGCGTCTTTGGCAATTCGCGTCGACCGTATCAACACTTATCGGTTATCTCCTGAGCTCCAAACAGCCACTTTATTGACTCCTTTGCGACATCCGTTGTCGCAATGCCTGGTCTGGAGATCCCGGGCGAATTCTTGCGTCATGCCATCCTTGATACAGTTGTCCCTCATTCTCCAACACTCGATATTGAGGACGCCCTCAGTTCGGCCCTAGAGAACGGAGCTGATGATCTCCCCTCTGTTCTCTCGTCAATCCCTCAACGGTCTCTATTGTTCTTTGGTTTGTACTCTCAAAGACTCAGCAGGGTTTGCGTCTTACTCATTAATAGCTATTAGATGAATTTTTGCCCGTCCGTATTGTCTTGAGGTTGTCCGATTGCTCAGAACCGATCCTGAAACATTACCTGCCGCGACTCGAAGTCAAGCTCGATGTCTTTGCCGTCGATCCAGCGGAATCAGTTGGTGAAAACCTTACGCCAACTCGAGATATAATATTCTCCGGGATTGTTAGTGGAGATGAGGATCCCCTAGTGGT